CCCAGTCCATGGTACTTTCTCTCCTTGGGTCGATTTTGAGGAATTCACGTCTCTTCCCTTGAACTGAGTCAATCCCGAAGTTGCTGCCACGCTGGGTGGGCATCTTGCTTCCTTGTTCTTCCGGAAACGTCAGGGGGCCGAGGGTTCCCTGTCCAGGTGTGCTGGGCCATTCTGAGCTCGCTCCGCCGGCCGGGCCAAGGGGCCGAAGGGGGCCAGCTCCGCCAGAGGAGGTGACCAGAAACCCAAGATGGCAGCGACATAAATAGACACTTGGCGAATGCTTCTGGTCTAAAAATAGAATGAAGAGGAGCCTGCCTGGAGGAGGCCCTGACCGGCCAGAGGACCAAAGGAGTGGTCCCCAACTTGAGTCGGGGCTGGTCAGGGAGAACCTGGGACCCACAGGTCCCCTCTGGCTGGGGAGGACATGAGGGCCAGGCTGAAGGAACTCAGCCGAGTGTCCCCGGACACAGTGCGTGCTGGCTGTGCACTCAGCTGTCTGTGCCACGCACAGGCCTCCGGGCCTCTGTGCCCTCTCTAGGGACCCCCCTTCGCCGGGGTGGAGAATGGCTGGATGACCACGCCGTCTCTGGCCCACAGGCAGTATGAGCGGGCAACAGAGGCCGCTGGCCAGAGGAGGGCGGTGTGCCCTCGCTGAACCCTGGGTGAGTTGGTAGGTGCCTTGGCCTTGGCACCGCGGGGAAGGGAGAACAGGCGAGGTCAGGAGCAGGCAAGGGCTGGACACAGACACAGCAGGACACAGACACAGACGGAGGAGAAAGGGAATGGCCCTCTGTCCACCGCAGCCACAGCCCTGGGGCTGAGACACAGAAGCAGAGGCAGGGTGTCCCGGACACACCAATGAGGAAAAGAAGCAAATCGCCAAAGGATAGGAACACGGGAACGTGTGGCGGCCTGCAGGAAGCCAGGCCGGCCGGGGCTGGGGCTCTCACTGTCCGGGGCAGCTGCGTCTCTGCCATCTGCGTCTCTGCCATCTTGCAGCCAAAACCGGTTTGGCTCAGTGGATAGTGTCGGTCTGCGGACTGAAGGGTCCCAGGTTCGATTCCGGTCAAGGGCATGTACCTTGATTGCGGGCACATCCCCAGTGGGGGATGTGCAGGAGGCAACTTGGTCAATGTTTCTCTCTCATCGATGTTTCTAACTCTCTTTCCCTCTCCCTTCCTCTTGACTCAGTAAAAAAAATCAGTAAAATATATATTTTTAAAAATAAAAAGAACTCGCAGTCATTCCCTTTGTTACAAACTGTGAAGATGCATTCAGGGTTGTCAAGTTCCCCCCCTAGGGGGGGGGGCGGGGGGGAAAGGGAGCGCGCACCAGCATGGCCCCCGAGCCCAGCGGGGTGGGCAGCCCCAGCGTCCTCCTCCCCGGACAGAACCTTCCCTCCGGTCGATTATGTGATGTCTGTCTCCCTCTAGCGGAAGGCCTGGCCTCCTTGCTGGGGCTGGGCGGGGCGGACCATGTGGGTGAAGGAGGGAGAGGCCTAAAGCACTGGTTGGCAAACTTCAGCTCAGCATTCCGAGCTGCAGTTTGCTGCTCTGTTGACTAATGAGTTTGCCGATCACTGGGATAGGGGCTTAATCACAAGGAACAACAACAGCCTGTAATGATTGGAATCGAGAGTCTAGGTCAGTGGTCGGCAAACTCAGTCAACAGAGCCGCAAATCGCGGCTCGTGAGCCGCAGTTTGCTGACCACTGGCCTAAAGCATGCCTAACTGCTGGTAATAACACTCCCCCTCCCAGCGGGTGACCCTGGGCTCTGTCTCCTGCCATCCATGCAAGACTCAGGAAGGTCACTCCGCTGACCCCAGATCACACTCTGGGCGAGGTGGAGCCAGGAGCTAACCGGTGTGAGTATTCCCCTCAAATGGGAGGCTCTTCTCCGCTAAGATCCCAGCCTCCCGGCTACCAGAGCCTTTCCCATCTACTGAGTCAGCTCAAGCCCATGTGAACAGCTGACTCTGCCCAAGGCCCATCTCTGTGTGTCCATCTATCATCCACCCTGCATCCATTGATCCATCCATTGATCCACCCACCCAGCCAGCCACCTAGCCACCGACCCACCCACCCATCTATCTACCCACCCATCTATCCACCCATCCATTCATCCATCCATCCACCTACCCGCCCAGCCAGCCAGCCACCCACCAACCTATCTAGCCATCTATCCACTCATCCACCCATCTACTCACCCACCCACTCATCCATCCATCCACCTACCCAGCTATCTATCCATCCACCCCCCCACACACCCCCCCATCCATCCACCTACCCATCTATCCATTCATCCACCTACCTAGCTATCCATCCATCCACCAACCCACCCATCCATCCACCCACCCATTCATCCATCCATCCATCCAGCCACCCACCCATTCATCCATCCATCCATCCAGCCACCCACCCATCTCTTCACTGATATTTCCATGCATTTATTCACTGGGTGCCTGCTGTGTGCTGGATGCTGAGGGCTCAGAGACAGATCTGGCTGGCTCTGCCTGCCAGAGCTCACCGCTGGGTGGGGGGACATTCAGACCTGCCCAAACCAGCCTAAAGGGAGAGGCGGCGGGCCTTCTGTTCTGCTGGAGAGGCTGTTTGTTTGGGAGACAAAGGGCAGGTGAAACCTGGCTGCAGTGACCGAGGAAACACGCTCTCAAGTGTCAGCTTCTTGGGCTGCCTTTTCTAACGCGCCCCTCCCCCACCCCCCCCCGCCCCTGTCCCCACCCCTCCCTACCCTACTCTACATCTCTCCTCAGTCCTTACCCCAACCCGGCGGACTCTGTATTTTTATATTTTTATTTGTTTGTTGGTGTCTGTTTCCCCACCTAGAACAGGAGATCCGTGGGGCAGGGGCATTTGCCTGAGTTCATTGCCATGGCCAGAGCTGACGTGAGTGACAGAGGTGGGATCTGAGCGCAGGCACCACGGAGGAGGCATGCTGTGTCTGTGGCATGAGGGAGGGCCAAGGGGGAACCAGACTGCTGTCCAGGGGGAGACGATACAGCCGGGGGCTGTGCAGACGGATGGTGAAATGGATCTGAACATAAACTTCAGAGGTCTGACCACAGGACTGGGTGCCTCACTGGGTGTAGGGTGCAGGGGGAAAGGCATTCCGGGCAATTTCTGGGTTCCTGACTCAGGTGCCGGGGACGTGTGTGGGGGGGATGAGTGGTACTTACCATTTTAGAGGCTCTTGAGGAATCACAGGACCAACCAGCTCCCTGTTCTGTCAGTCAGACAACATTCTTCAAGCTCCCTCATCACGCAAGGTACTGGCCTTCCAGGTGTGGCATCTGCACATGAACCTGAGCTCCCACTGTATTTGCCCTGCTCCTAACAGGACTGTCACCTCCTTCCTTCTAGAACCTATGCTCCTATTAATGCAGCCTTTGCATTTGGCTGGCCACTTCCACCGGAGCTCGCCCTGAGTGGTCACAGATGTGAGGCAGGTCCTATCCTCATTTCGTGGATGCTGAAACGGAGGCGCAGAACGATCAGGGAGCTTGCCCCAGGTTTCAGAGCTGACGTGAGTGACAGAGGTGGGATCTGAGCGCAGGCAGCTTGGCTCCTAACCAGACAGAACTGCTTCTCTCTAAAGCCCAGGACAGGCATCAGCACTGGCCTTGAACGAGCCACATCCTGCCCTTTGCCCTCTGCCGTGGCAACTGCTACTGGCCACTCGTGTCCTCCCCTCAAAAACGGCTGGGCAGGCGCCAGCGAAGCTGCCCTCTGTCAGCTCAGCCTGTTCAGGGCTGGCCTACAAGTCCACCCCCAGGACACGTGGCCCTGCCCTGAGGGCCACCCTCCCCGGTCCGGCCAGGTGTCTGGTCAGGGGACACCCTGGACAAGTTCACGGCTCTCTGAGCCGCAGGGTCCTCGCGGGGCTGCGATGATTTTGAGCCACAAGCCGATGGGATCGGCCTCCTAGTCTGGTCAGAGGCCAAGCTGACAGCCTCCGCCCTGGGCCCCACAGGCTTGGTCCCCTCGCTCGCTCAGCAAGCTCCGCTCAGCGCTGGGTCTGTGCTGGGGCCGGGGACTCAGAGTGGAGGCACACTTCGCTGGAGCCCGGGGGGGGGGGGCAGGGGCAGTGTGCGGCCAGGGCAGTGTGGAACGGACAGCGAGCCGTGACTGGTGTCCATGCTGCGCCCAGGAAGGGCTCTGGCCAGCCTTCTGGGTGCCAGGCGTCAGGGGCTCCTGCCCCCAGCCCTCCACACCTTGAGGACTGGATTTGGGCCTGATTTGCCTCAGTGCAGCCTCAGCTCTGATAGTGTTTGTTGAATGAATAAGTGAGGAGCTTAAAAAAAAAAACATCCTTGCTCGGAAGATACTTTTGCATTGATTTTTTAGAGAGAGAGTGGAAGGGAGGAGGAGAGACAGAGACAAACACTATTGTGAGGGAGACACATCGATTGGCTGTCTCCCACATGCCCCTGACCAGAACCGGGAGCTGGCAACCGAGGTATGTGCCCTTGCCTGGAGTCGAACCTGGGACCCTTCAGTATGCAGGCCGATGCTCTAGCCACTGAGCCAAACCGGCCTGGGCAAGTGAGGGAGCTTTGTGGGTTTCCTGAGCAGGAATCACTGCAGGGGAGTCAGGGAGGCCCAAGACACCGATGAGGTGTGAACTGGGCTGGAGGGGCAGGGACATCCAGCCCCGCCAGGGACCTCCCCGGAGGTGTCGGGATGTGGTCTGGGGCCAGGCCTGCAGGTGCGGACAGCGGTCTCTGCTGCCCACAGCTGGGTCCTGAGGGCACTGGGACAAGGGGCATTGGGGGGTGGGGTGGGCGGGAATCCAGGTGGGCATCGACCTGCCTGCTTCCCAGCACAACCTCTGCCTTCTGGGCCACAGGTCAGCAGCTCCTGCTTCCTGTCCCCGCCCCCGCCCCTCGCCCCCCGCCCCCCGCAGGTATTTAAGGTCTGAGAGGACCTGACCTTGTGATGTTGGTGACATCAGACGGCTCCCAGGAGGGAGACTCACGTCTCCATGGATTTCGTTGCTGGAGCCATCGGAGGTACTGGACGGGACTGTGGGTCCTGGGGGTACCCGGAGGGGCTGGGGTTGCTCCGTCCTTAGGGGGGCCTCTGGAAGATATGGGGTTTGAGGAGTCACCCCAGACGTGGCTGGGACCTGGTGTGGGCATGGGTGCCGGGGGATAGGAGGACAGAGCTGGTTCCTGGGAGACTCCAGCGGCAACACAGGGCTGGGTGCAGGTGCGGGGAGCGGTGAGTCTGCACTGGCCTGGGGGGCCCAGCCGGGAAGGCTGAGGGGCAGTTCTGGGGGGCCCTCAGGGACTGAGGGTGGTCTTTGCCTGGGCCAAGAGGAGGCGGGGGGTGACCAGCACAGAGGACTGGTGGAGCCGGGAAAGGACCAGAGGCTCCGGGAGAGGTGGACAGTGAGGACAGTGCTGCCTGGATGCTGTGGGCCGAGGAGGGAGGGCCTGTCCCTGCCCCGCCCCGCCGCAGCTCCGCCTGCCGGGCCGCCGTGTGCAACTGTTTTCATTTCTGGGGAAAGGGCTCGTTGCGAAAGACAGACCCCGACGGGCCACTGGCTCGTTGGAAAACAGGCTCATGGGGCTCCACATCCTCCCAGCACCCACCTTGCAGGCGGTGGAGGCCGTTTTGGCCCGGGCACCCTGGGCCTTGCTTACCGTGTGAAACAGCAGCGGGCTCCTGTCCATGCTTCTGGGAACGGTGTGGAGGGGCGGGGAGCAGCGCCAAGCCAGCTAGACCAGGCTTTGCCGAGGTCCTACTGTGTGCAGGGACTGAGGCCAGCCGCTGCCCCGGGCATCAGCCCCCTAAGGAGGAGGCTCAGAGCACACAGCCAGGAAGGGGTGGGTCATGGAAGTCACATGTTACCTCCAGAGTCCACGGGAGGCTCTGGGCTGGGTCCTGGGTCACAAGGAACAGAGGTGGGCCCTGACCTAGACTCCAGTTCTGGGGGCAGAGCTGGCGCGCTGTGGGACAGCAGCAAAGCCCTGCCAGCGGCCTGATCAACAGGCTTCTGGCGACAGAGGCGGCCCCGCGCTCAGGGCTGAGGGAGGGCCCTGGAGAGGAGGTGATGCTGTGGCAGGGCTTTGATGGATGCATAGGAGTTTGCTGAGGTTTTTGTGAGGGTCAAGGAGGGTAATCCTTTTCAAGTCAGTCAGTCTTTTACTTCATTTCATTTATTCATTCACCCTATTCTTTCATTCATGCATGTTTATTGAGTCCTGGGATGCAGAGTAAATAGAACCCAGCCCCCACACGCATTCTGCCCTCACATAGCCCTCGCCACCCATCCCCAGGGACCTGTGTGCTCACTCTCCGGCTTCTCCATGGCAGGGCTGGGGCCTGGACACTGAGTTGCTGGTGTCAGGAGACGGGGCAGAAACAGGACGATGGCACTGGCCCTCTCTGCAGGGGAGAGGGCCCGAGTCCAGGAAGCCTCACGCCCACTCGGTGCCACACAAGCCCGGGGGGGCACGGGGCTCTCCCAGCCCAGACAAACCCGTCACGCCTGAGGCTCCGGGGCCAGCGCTGCCCCGCCTTGGGACGGGCCCAGCCAGTGTCAGATCAAACGTTCTCCCAAAACATGGCCCAGAGGCAGGGCCAGGAGTGTCCTGGGGCCAAGACTCAGGGAAGGAGACGTCGCCAGCAGCTGGTTGGGAGCCTCCGCTGCCTCGTTTGCAGACGGGGTGGCTGGCTCTCCCGTCGACCAGACGCTTGGACGAGGAGGGTCTGCATCTGCTGTCCTCATCAAGCTCTGGTTTCCTTCCAGGCGTCTGCGGTGTTGCTGTGGGTTACCCCCTGGACACAGTGAAGGTGTGTGGCGATAGGCCCTGCCCCCCCGCTCCTTCCCCCTGCCTGATTGCCCTGCGAGCCTCCTGCATCTCCTCAGGGTTCTCACCACACCCGGCTCTCCCACCCGCCTCGGACAGCCTGACCCTCTTCTCCGGCCTCTGCCTCCGCTTTCTCCTCTCATACGGGGCTCACTGTCCCTGCTCTGCCGTCGAGAGTGTGGCCGTGACACCCAAGGAGTCGGCTCTTCCCCTCCCCCAGGCCTGCTGACCTTGCCCTGACCTTGGCCCCGTCCTGAAGCTGATTCTCCCACAGGTCAAGATCCAGACGGAGCCCAAGTACACAGGCATCTGGCACTGCGTCCGGGACACGTACCTGCGTGAGCGGGTAGGCCCGGGGCCGGGGTGACAGGCCTCTCTCTCCGAGCCTGGGTTCCCTCACTTCCAAAGGGGAGTAATGACACCCACCCCGGGACTCCTCTGAGGCCAGGGCTGGGTGTCCGGCGTGCAGGAGGTGTTTACAATGAGGTCCTACCTCCAGGAGAAGGTCTAGAGGGGGGTGCCTGGGATCTTTAACGGTGTGGGGCACCCGTGTGTTGGCATTTCTGTCCCCTTCAGGGAGGAGTCAGGTCCCCAGGGTCCAGGTCTGAGAGCTGTCCAGAGGGGGGACAGGGACATTTACCAAAGTGAAGTTGGGGCTCGGTGCTGGCCAGGGAGGGGCCAAAGGAAAACAGCAACAAGGAAGCATGCCAGGTCCCCAGCTCCCCCATCAAGCAGCTGCCCTGGGTCCAGCCTGGCCCTCTGTCTCTTCATCACAACCTCTCAAGTTGAGACTATGATCCCCATTCTGCAGCCCAGGGTACTGAGGCCTGGGCAGTGACTTGCCTGAAGTCCCGCAGCCAGGAAGGGCCTGCTGGGGTGAGACCAGGGCCATCCTCCTGGCTGACCTCTGGCCTGACTTGGGCCCTTGGGTCCCGTCCATCTGCCCACCAGGTGAGGGGCTTTTACAGGGGCCTCTTGCTGCCCATAAGCACGGTGTCGCTGGTCTCGTCGCTGTCTTTCGGCACCTACCACCAGTGCCTCACACGCATCTGCCGGTTCCGGTATGGCAGCGCCGACGCCAAGCCCGCCAGGACCGACATCACGCTCTCGGGTTTCGCCTCCGGCCTTGTCCGTGTGAGTGGGGTCCCAGGACCCCAGGGGGGGGAGGGCCTGAGAAGTCCCCGGAGCCCAGAGGGCAGGGAAACGGAAGCTCAGGGAGGGCGGAGGCTAGATGGAGGCTGGGGGCAAGGGTGAGAACCCAGCCGGGCCTCATTAGCTGAGGGAGCCCGAGGACTCCAGGGAGCCTCTCTGAACTTCTGACTCTTCATCGGCAAGAGGCCTCGGGATGAGGATTAAGGGAGGTCAAATGTAAAGCCCCTAACCCGAAGTCTGACAGGTATGAGCACCCGTGAAATGCAAACATTGTCAGCAATGTCATGTCACCTATGAATGTTACTAAATACTTGGTCTTATTATTCTTACATTAAACACATTAAATAAATAATAGGTAATATATGTCACTGACATACTAATCATGTGATTAAATAAAGGTGACCAGATCGTCCCGCTTTTGGCGGAACAGTCCCGATTTTTAACAATCTTTCCCAAAATCGGGACTTCTTTAAAACGCCGTGGGACTCGGGAGAAATTGTTAAACATCGGGACCGTCCCGCCAAAAGCGGGACGATCCGGTCGCCTTAGATTAGATGCTTTCACGAATTGGAGTCCACAGCCCGCGCTGCCCAGCCAGCCAGCCCGTACCTGACACCGACTGTGTGTGGAGTCCGCTCTGTGCCAGGGCGAGCGTGTGGCTGGGAAGGTGCTGGCTGTGGCTGGGCGGGCAGCGCAGGCTGTGGACGCCGCTCCCCCAGGGCCTTGGGCCACCTGAATCCCCACGGCGCGCAGGCTCCCCCGTGTCACTGTGGCTCACGGGAGGCCGGGGCTAGGGTGTGGGTGGTGCTGGTGCCTCCTGATTGCTGCGTCTGCTCCAGGTGTTCCTGACCTCGCCGACCGAGGTGGCCAAGGTCCGCCTGCAGACGCAGAAACAGACGCAGACCCAGACGCAGCTGCAGCAGAGACGGAGGTCCTCGGCCTCGTGGCCCTCGGCGGTGCCCCCCGTGTGCCCTGCTCCTCCTGCCAGTCAGGTGCCCGGGCCCAAGTACCGGGGGCCGCTGCACTGCCTGGCCACGGTGGCCCGGGAGGAGGGGCTGCGGGGCCTGTACAAGGGCAGCTCGGCCCTGCTCTTGCGGGAGGGCCACTCCTTCGCCACCTACTTCCTCTCCTACTCCATCCTCAGCGAGTGGCTCACCCCTGCCGGCCACAGCCAGCCAGGTGAGTGGGGGCTGGGCCTGCAGGGGCGCAGGCTCAGCAGGTGGGAGCTGAGTCAGGTGGCACGCTGCCACCCCAGGGCCGCCAGGGTGGGAGCCTCAGTGCTCTCCGACACTGAGGTGAGGACAGACGGCCTGTGTGTGGCCTGGGACAAGTCACATCTGGTGGAATGAGCCCAGGGTTTCGGGAGGGCTGGTCCTGCCCTGGGAGCCTCCGGGGCCTCAGTCCGCCTCCGATCAAGGTGCTCCCTCGCGGGTCTCCCCGTAGATGTGTTGGGCGTGCTGCTGGCCGGTGGCTGCGCGGGGGTCCTGGCCTGGGCCGTGGCCACCCCCATGGACGTGATCAAGACTCGCCTGCAGGTGGACGGGCAGGGCCAGCAGCGCTACCGGGGCCTCCTGCACTGCGTGGTGACCAGCGTGCGGGAGGAGGGGCCGCGGGTCCTCTTCAAGGGGCTGACGCTCAACTGCTGCCGCGCCTTCCCCGTCAACATGGTGGTCTTCGTGTCCTACGAGGCCGCGCTGCGGCTCAGCCGGGGGCTGCTCAAGTAGCCGTCCCTCCGCCGCGGGCCAGAGGAGCTGGAGGAGGCCCAGGGGAGTGTCCCCACCGGGTGGTCACCCAGGACAGCGGGGAGCCGCCCCGAAGACAGGCAGCTGGGGCTTGGGCGTGGTCCGCCAGCTACAGCGCAGAGAAGGTCAAAGCCACCTGCTACCAGCAGGGTTGGCCTGAGGGTCACAGGAACAGGAAGGAGCGGCCTCTTGGGTGAAGACACTGTCACATGGAGTCCTGGGCGCAGGTGGTCAGGTGTTCATGCCAGCCTCCCCCAGCCCGTGTCTTCAGAGCACCCTGTGTCTGCACCACCACTTACTCAGCTGTCCTCTGAGCCACCACCCAGCCCCTTGCTATTTAGGGTACCCAAGGCCCTTAGATGCAGCTCACCCAGGCCCCCCCCCCCCCCCCCCCCCCCCCCCGCAGAGGCCCTGCCGGCGGCCTGGTGAGCTGGTGTGAGGGCAGGTGGTGCCCCCTCCCTCTGCCCGTAGACCTGGAGGGGACTGTTGCCAATTAAACGTTTCTGAGGATGCTCAGTGGTGCTCTGTGGTCTGGTGACCCGTGTCTCTGCCTTCGATTCATCCTGGGGCCAACCTCCCAGACCTGTGTGGCCAGCGCTCCCACCATGCAAATGGGCAGCGAGGCCCAGCCCAGCCCCCCAAGGGCCCCAATCCCTTGGCCTTCGAGACTGGGGCCTGGCCCTCAGCCCTGCCACAGCCAGCTGTTCAGCATTCGGCATGACACCTGCTCTCCTGGCCGCTCTGTCTCAAATCTATCCCCTTTCTGAAGAAAACCGGGTTCCAGCCAGTGCCAGCCAGCTGCCTGGCCCCATTGAGCCTGGGCACTAGGCTGGGTGCCACCTTCCCACGGGGTCTGTCTCCTGAACACTGCTGGGTGCCAGGCACCTCACACAGCTTATCATACAGCGTGATGCCAGGAGAGGAAACACCTGAGGGAGCCGGAGCTGCTCAAGGCCACACAGCAGGGAGGGGGGGGACTCCTGAGGCCCCGCATGCCCTCCAGTAATGGGGCCACCGGGGGCAGGGCTGGCGGTGCAGACCAACCTGTGGGGTCCACCCTGCAGCAGTCCCCGGTGAAGTCAGCCAACACCCTCCTGGACACCGGCCTTGACCATGGCCTTGGACAGAGAACTTCCAGGGCTCCTGCCGGGCCTGTCCTATTACCAGAACATGTAGGTGGACCGTCCTGTCCTGGCCTGTGCGTCATCCTGACCAAGTGTTTGCTCACATCTGTGCTCAGTGCAGGACGCCCTTCCCCCTCCTCTGCCTGGCTAAATCCCCGTCTCAGACACCACTTCCTCCAGGAAGCTCTCCCTGCCTGATCACCAGGCTGCTTTTCGGTGTCTCTTGCTCAGCTTCCCATTAACTGTGGAGTCAGGCTGCACTTGAAATGTCAAAGGGGAGAGGAAAGGGGTGGCTGGCATAACTCTGTCACTGGGGAGAGCTGGCCCGCCTGAGGCTGCGCCAGGAGCCCCAATCTCACTCTGGCGCGCTGTCCTGGACCTGTGCTCCCTCTGGCCGCGCGGCCACCGTCCCCTCCCTCAGCTGTCCACTGCGGGCAGGAGGCTCCCTGTGCTGTCCCTCAGGTGCAGCACAGCTGGTCTCCCCACCACCCGGGACTGAGACGCATGGAGGTCTGATGGACGCCGGCAGTCAGAGCTCCCCTCCCTGGAACAGTCTTTGCCCATCAGGGCCAGAACCACCGTTACCCAGAAACCTGCTGGGCTGGCCACCACATCCAGCCTGACTCTGGGTCTTGGGGAACTTTAGGAACGCACAGGCTTCAGCAAAAGGAAGAGCCGGGACAGGCCTGCTTTGTAACAAACTCCCTGTGTGACCTTGGACAAACCACATCCCCCTCGTCTATGCCTCCATTTTGCCACTCACAGAATTGTTGGAGGCACCTCTCACCCCAACCTCGATGCTTGAGCCAATCTATTAAAGCAATGAACGCACGCACCTGCATTAAAGAAGCAAACCCATACACAGCTGGCTTATGAAGCACAGGTGAGCTCCCAGCTAATCTGAAGACCAGGTTGGGTGGGGGTCCGAGGTGTTATACACCCTCCCACCTGTAGGTGTCAGAATTCCTTTGCTGACTATTTGGTAGATTCATTCTCAAGGTCCCTTTCCAGAATCCTGACAACTTTGTCCCGCAGAGCCTTGCTGACTTTTCTGCTTAGGGAGTAAGGCCGCCCCCTTTCACATCTCTTCCCCCTCCTTTCCTGCATTCTCTCATGAGGGAGGCTTTTAACCATTTGCCCTCAAGTGTCCTTGGCTGAGGGAGATAATGGCTTTCGTTAACCAGCTGGCTGCCGATAGTTTTGCCTTGCTTTAACCTGCCTGTCTCAGTTTCCCTATTCCACTTGCCTTGTGATTTCCCTACCTCCTACTGCTCTGTAACAAAATGAAGATGGTGGGCGGAGCGAGCCCAGATTGGCGGGTAGACTGGCACCTGTCACTACCCAGCCCTACCTTGGACCACCCCATGCACAAAACGAGGACCTCTGCTTGCACTCTCCAACGAAGTGGTGAGAATCCAGACCCCGACTGCTAAGGGGAGACCGGTGGACGGGCTGCTGGTCTCAGTGCCTCGGGGCTTCCTGCACGGTGGGCTCCCTTCCTACTCTCACCGTGACCCCCAGCAGGCTCAAGGGCCATCCGCGGAGGGGCTGCGGCTCGGTGGCAGGTGCAGCACCACCCAGGGGCCGGAAGCCAGGCCTCTGTCCTGCTCAAACTCCACACAATACAGCCACACATGTGGGACCAGAGGGAATTTATTTAGGCCAACAAGCGACATGAGGGTAGAGCATTCAGGAGTGGACCCTGCACCCCACGGCGGGCTTTCCCAGACTACACAGGGCACCGCCCAGGACACCGGCAGGGTGAGAGCCTGTCCCCAGGGCCGGCTGGTAGAAGCGTGTGGGGAGGCTCAGAGGAGGGCAGAGACTGCAGAGGACACGTGGGGCTGGAGTTCACGTGTGGGAAGTTTCTCCACAGACTCAACTAATAAAAGTGGCCTCCTCGGGCGATATTCTGTGTGAAAAGCAGCTTTCAAGCTGGGAGATCTCTCCGTCAAATGCACAGCTAGCAATTCCTTTTGTTTTGGGGGATGGGCTGTGCCCTTTTACACTTCCTGAAATGTACATGCAGGCTGCAGGCCCCCTGACCAGCGGCCTTGAGGATCTACGTGGCACCGAAGGGCGCTGCCAGTGCAGGGCTCCCAGTGCGCCTGTGGCTGGCTCTGGGCGGGCGGGGTGCCTTGTGGGAGAGCCAGCGGCTCCCGTGCGCAGGCAGCACACAGGGCTTGGCCCCTGACGGGAAGGATGGCCCGGGAGCAGCAGCACTGACGGACAGGGTTATGGACACCAGGACCAGGAAGCTGTGGCAGCCTATGTGGAGCAGTGATTGGACTGGGCTGGGGTTCTGGGTGAGCCATGGCTCGTTATGTACAGATATAAAATGGGCGTTATTGAAAGTCGTAGAACAGCTTCCGGGGGGTCATGAACTCTCTGACGATCTCGTCTGTGACCTCCTTGCGCCGGGCCTGGTGCTCCGCGATCAGGGGCTGCAGGACATCCACGAGCTCCTTCTTGAGCTCCCCGGTGAGCATGGCTCCGCTGGTGTAATCCTGCGGGGAGACCCCGTGGGCACGGCCCGCCTGAGCGCCATGTCCGCCACACGCCCCTTCTGAGCGCGAGCGCTCCTGCCCCTCACGGCGGAGGGCCGAGGGGGCCTCACTGCCCTGCGCTGCAGCCCAACTCCAAGCCCTACTGGCTTCTGCCAGGTCTACGCTGAGTTTCTGACCCAAGCCCAGGAGCAAGGCCAGTGCCTCAAGGGCAGGCCATGGCTAACGTTCGGGCACCGCTTAGGTTTTTTGTGGTGCACTGACCACGCTGCGTGTGCACTGACTACGCTGTGTGTGCACTGACTGTACTGCGTGTGCACTGACCGTACTGTGTGTGGATTGACCACGCTGTGTGTGCACTGACCACGCTGCGTGTGCACTGACCGTACTGTGTGTGGACTGACCGTACTGCGTGTGCACTGACCACGCTGCGTGTGCACTGACTACGCTGTGTGTGCACTGACTGTACTGCGTGTGCACTGACCGTACTGTGTGTGGACTGACTACGCTGTGTGTGCACTGACCACGCTGCGTGTGCACTGACCGTACTGTGTGTGGACTGACCGTACTGCGTGTGCACTGAGCACGCTGCGTGTGCACTGACCACGCTGCGTGTGCACTGACCGTACTGCGTGTGCACTGACCACGCTGCGTGTGCACTGACCTCGCTGCGTGTCTGCCTGCAGCACCCACCCTGGGACACTTCCTAGGTGACCTGCCTCTGCTGTGTAGCTGGTCCTGAACTTGCGCTGCTACCATTTTGAACGCTGTTACATGAGGAGCCCTTACTCAAGCAGGGCTGCTTCCCTGAAAAGCCCGAGCACAGCTGGATACTCTAGGGGTTTTCTATACCCACGGCCAAGCCATTGCCGGACACCTAGGCGGGGAGCCTGGCAGCACCTGGCTTACAATCGTTGCAAATGAATCAGCAACACCAAACCCTGCTAGGTCGGGAGGGGACCTGTTTTAACTTGGATGGTTCCTTAACTGACACTGTCTCACAGCGGATTTAGCCCTTTTGTGTGGCTACCAAGTAAACAACAGCCTGCAGTCTCTCTCTTGTGAATATCTGTTCATGAGGTGTCCTGGCTACAAACCAGTCCACCTCCTCCCTTTACTCTTGGGCTCAGGCCCCGAGGAAACACGACTGCCCCCGGCTGGCTGCGAGCCCTCCAGGTCCCGAGGGAGCGAGCTGGGCCGCCGGGACGGCCGGTCTTACCTTCCGGATCTGCTCCAGCTTGTCGTCATCCTCCAGGAAGAAGGTCAGGTACATGAAGGACACGTCCACGTCGCAGTTGCCCCCAAACTGCCTGTGTTCCTCGATGGTGTCCCTCCCTCCAGAAAACGCGTGCTTGTTGACCTGCCAGCAAGAGACACACAAGGCTGGGGTTCTGGCCGCCCTGCGGGAGCCCAAGGGCTGGGGCTGGAGCCAGTGACGCTTCTGCCCGTCAGATCCTGGCCACAGGGAGGCCGGTGGGAGGAGCCCCACCAAGCAGACTCAGTGGGCTCACAGCAGGGAAGGGGCAGAGATGGGTTCACTTTGCACTCCCCACTCCCCATGGACAAGAACAGAGTCAGGAGAGCTGATATTTGGGGCAAATGTCCTAAGTGTTCTCAGGTGATGAGCTTTGGAAAGAAGACAAACACAAACCCACTTCAGAGAAACAAACGAGCAGGGAGGGGCGCTGCTCGGGGCAGGTGGTGCTGTCACTGGTGAACAGGACAGCACCCCAGCCTGGCGGCTGCCCTCCTCACTATGAGGGAGGACGGGGGAGAGGCACAGAGGAGGGCCCAGGAGGGAAAGCCGACCCTGGACAGTACGGAGGTGGAGGACCTGCAGGTAAGGCGCACCCAACACTGGCACTTTCAGGAGCAGACGACAGACTCACAAGCTAACAAATGCCTTTCAAAACTCACTGAGGACAATCTCAGAGAAATCAGGGCCTGGGAGAGGAGAAAAGCTGGAACGGGTAGACAAAGTTCCTCAGTGTCTTTCAACGAGGATTTGAGAAGCCGGCTATGAACAAAGGGGAGTGGGGTGGGTAGAGTCGGTAAACTCCAAGTGGAGGTGTTCAGCAGGTCTCCCCAGGGGCCCCAGGACAGGCCACTACTGGGTGCTCTGGGACTGTCCAGAAGCTCAGAGAACGCCGGGCACGGGGAGGTCAGTGAAACCCATCCTCTCCAGGAGAAACCAGCCCACTTCTGAGAAGGAGCCGTATGCCCATGAGCTGCATTCTGCTCAGGGAAAGGAGGAAACGGGGAAGCTGCCGCATGCTCAGTAGGCCTGCACAAAGGGGAGCGAGGAGAGGTGGGGGCTGGTGGGCGGGCCACCTTCACTTGACAAAAAGGAGCAAGTCATGAAATAAAATCAAGGTACTCAAACGCAGAAACTATGGGAAATACAAAAGAAACAGGAAGAAGAGAAAAGCACTACGTATTGGGCTCTCCTGAGATGCACATGCCCTCAGGCAGGTGCCCTGTCTGCTGGAGCCTCTGGTCTTGTGGAGGCCCCTGCCCGCGCAGGCATCTTCCCGGGCACAGACCCCCAGGCCAGGCCAGTGCTGGGCCTCAGGGAAGAGGAGAGGGGTCAGGAAGTCTAGAGGACAGTCTCCTAGGCTTTGAGGGGAGCGAGCCACAGCCCTGGGCAGTTCCCTGCCCTTGTCTGAGGAGGACGAGGAAATGCACGGTGCACAGACTCCGTCTGCCACTGGCCAGGCCCTCACCCACTGGCGGCACACTGAACCCCCAATGACTGCGGTCTCACTTTCTCCACGTGACAGTGAGGACATGAGGCCAAGTGCCCAGGCCTGTTGTAGTGGCACTGTGTAGGGAGCAAGTGGACTCCTCCTGGGACACCAGGTTGCCGAGTGGCTTATGTGGTCCAGCGATGCTGGGCCTGCCTTTCAGGGAACCACCAGAAAGACAGGTTTGGGCCATGGTGGAGCCAGTCGGTGGGGACTGAAAAGCCACCGTCAGGATCCAAAACGATGGAAGCCAGTGAGGTGTGCCAAAAACGATTCCATGTAACAGGAAACTGCAACAGGAAGGCTGTCTGGGCTGAGGGCGGGACCACCAAGAAACAGAGAGCTCCTGCTGCTCCAACCTAACGGGAAGGTCAAGTTGGCCTTAGGAGCCCGGAGACCAGGGCGGGGATGGGCCACTGGTCGGACAGGATCCACACGACAGCCCACGGGAGGCACAGCGTGCCCACCCTACAGAGGAGCTGCTCAACTTTCTGAGCCAAAAGCTTCAATTTGGGCTGCACTGGGCAGTTCATAAACGCGTTTTATGTGGGATCTCATGCAAGCCCTGCCTGCCTGTGAAGGGGACAACTGCCCCTCGTCACAATGACCCCCGATAGCCACGGCCCCTCCCCCACAGCAGGTAAGTGGCAGCCAGACAGCGGTGGACTGGGGGAGTCCTGGCCCTCTGCTTCCCCTGGGGTGAATGCAGGGTAGCTGCCACCCTGAGCCTTGATTTCTTCGCCTACAAATCAGACACAGCCTCCTGGGGGATATGAGAGCTCCATGAGGTCCATGGGGACGTGCAGGCAGGCAGCCACACCCTTGCATGCACACACGGCCTCTGCTGCGATCTTGAGTGGGGCAGATGTCCTCTCTCGGCCGAGGAGGAGTTGAAGACGGGCATGGAGACTGAGCACAGAGGCCTGGCCTCCCCGTCCCGCAGCCCCGTGACCCTGGTGGCCTCTGCAGCCCTGTGGCTCCTGACCTCACACTCACCACTCGCCTTCCTCTGAGTCTTTGCAGGTCTCTAAGCCAATGAAAAACGCCCCAGAGCCAAAGTGACTGACTTCAAACAACACCTCAAAAACAATACAAAATGCCTCCAACCCCCCCCCCCCCACACACACACACTGGAAGTTTCCACCAGAAGCGAAAGGGAAAGAAACAGCTGTTCACAGTATCAAGGGTTTCCCTGTTGTCCACCAGGAACTGCTGGGACTTTCCAGAAGGGTCAGGGGCCCAGCAGTGACTCAGACAGTTGCATTATGTGCTTCAAATACTGTTTCTGCCCCTCCCACTGTAAACTTCCAACCCGCAGACCCACATTGGTTCCCAATGAAGCGGCAACGGCTTTGCAGGGCGGTGAGGGGACTGCCATATCTGCCGGTCAGCACCCAGCACCAGAAGCGAGGCCTGAAAACACGGAAGCTCAACCAACTCCTCGCTCACGTTTCCCTGGTGGCTGGAGAGCTCGCTGCCTGCCGGCAGGGCAGGCCTGTCCCACACCTCCCCGTTCTGGGGCCAGCGAGCACCCGGGAGGAAACAGCCCTCCGCCCCAGAGGGTGGCGCTGCTCATGGCCAGGAGACCGCTGGTTTCCAGCGGAAACACCGCTCTGGGCCTCATCCTTCTCACCTTTAAAAGGAACACACCGCTCGCCCAGGGAGAAGTAAAACAAGGAAGCATGATCAAAGCGCCTGGCCTGGTTCTGCAATACAGCTCGTGCTCAGAATAGAATTTTCTCTAGTGCCTGTGCGACTTAAAAAAAAAAAAAACCTGCCGTGACTTTGCTTCCAGAACACAGTGCTGATAAGAAAAGGGGAAAAAATGCAAAGTTTTTCCTCAGTGAGAGGACATCAAGTAAATTCCCCTGCTACTTGGGAGCAGGGACAGCAGGCCGAGAGTCCGCAGGGGGAGTTTTCAGTCCAGGGTTTCAGCAGCCCCGGGGCAGCGGATGCAGAAATGACGGAGCGCGGGTGAGGGCGTGCGTGCATGTGCGTGCGCCTGAGCATGTGGTTCTGCGGGCACAGGTGGCCCTCTGTCCGGGGCAGTGCTCACCTTGTTCTTGATCTGCTTCGCGGTGTCTATGAGGAAGATGGAGGAGTTGGGGTCGCTGGCACTCATTTTGGTCTGGGCCCCCTGCAGGGCCGGGAAGAAGGTGGAGTGCAGCAGGGCTGGCTTAGGATAGCCGATCCTGGGGGCGACGTCTCTCGTCATCCTGAAGTAAGGATCCTAGAGAGAGGGGCCTTGTGAGGATGACTGGAAGCAACTGGCCAGCTTTTAGGCCATCAGTGTCACCCGGCAGGCCCCCACTGCAAAGCCAGCCAGTTCACAGAGCCGATCCCCCAGGCCCCCACCCCAAGCCGCCTTCCCACAGGTGAGGGCCCAGACCTGCCCCCTGCTGCCTCCTGACCTGGTCGATGGCACAGGGGATGAGGCACTGGACGTCTGTCTTGTCCCCAAAGATCTGCGGGAACGAGTTGCTGAAGGAGGGAGCAGCCTGGATGGCGGGAAAGCTGATCTTTCCTGGGAGCGAGGACAGAGAACCTTACACACAGCAGCTCCTGTCTGGCTGGTTACCCCGGGGAAAGGGAGGCGCAGAAACAGGCTTTCTTCCCGTTAGAAAATAATCACCGTGAAAGAAAAGCGGAAAACTCCGGAAAGTAAAAGAAAACCTATAAACCTCAATTGGTGTCTCTTTTCATCTGTCTTCTCTATTTCTACTTATTTCAGTTGTGATTATACTATTTTTCCCCTTGCCCTCTTCACTCTATAGTGTTTACCCAGGTTATTGTTAAATATGTTCTACCTTATAAATGAATCGTCTACATTTAACCATTCTCTGCCCATTGGGCATTCAGACTATTTCCCATTGTTTAATTATTACCAATTATGCTCTCTTGATACAGAACGGTTTTCAATGTTGTGTTAACAAAGCCACTGTCATCTGCCAAGACCTGCAGCGGGGGGGACTTCTGGGACAAAGGCCGTGGACCTCGGGGTCACACCTGGCAAGTGGCACCCAGCCCGCCCGCCTAGCGGCGGCACTCGGTCCTCAGGGCGCTCTCAGGTACCCGCCGTGCACGGACACGGGAACTCCCAAGCTGCCTGTACCCTTCCCACTTTCTTCCAAGCCTCCCACGGGGGGCTGAGGAGAGGGGCACATTGGCACCCTGGGTACGGCTCCACATGCCCAGGACGGAGGCCAAGGGCATCACCCTGCCTCCTTACGTTCTGGTTTATTATTTAAAGAGACAAAGTGCAGCCGAAACCGGTTTGGCTCAGTGGATAGAGCGTCGGCCTGCGGACCGAAGGGTCCCGGGTTCGATTCCGGTCAAGGGCATGTCCATTGGTTGCGGGCACATCCCCAGTAGGGGCAGCTGATCGATGTTTCTCTCTCATCGATGTTTCTAACTCTCTATCCCTCTCCCTTCCTCTCTGTAAAAAATCAATATAATATATTAAAAAAAAAAAAAAAAAAAAAGAGAGAGACAAAGTGCAGATGCCACCGTCTCAGCGACAGCTCAGCTCTGGGCCACTGCTCACTTCTGATGGGCTGGGGCCGGGCGCAGGCAGCAGCGGCTCCTTACCGATAGAGTCGCTGTCCGTGAAGCCAAAAATGCCTTTCACTTGGTTGAAGGTCACGTGCTTCTGAATCTTCACCACGTTCCTGTAGAAGCCTGGGCTCATCCTGCAAACACAATCAGGTCAGACACAGGTCCGACACTCCTGCCCACTGAGCCCCCTTCCTTTCCTCAGGCACTTGTTACCATGTGGTCTATCATCACCTGGTCTATGTCTGCTGGTGGGAAGGTCACCTACAGAGTGGCTGCTTCATTGTCTTACTGGCTGCTGTATCCCAGCAGCAGTCTGGCGGGTAGCACCGTGTTTCCCCGAAAATAAGACATCCTCCGAAAATAAGACCTACTTACAGGTTTCCTTCTGAGTGAAATATAAGGCATCCCCCCAAAAATAAGGTCCCCCTAGGCTAAACAGGAGAGATTTGGTCCACTGATTCTGAAAGAAATAGAGTCACAAGAAATTCACCAGGAAATTCAGGAATTGGATTGTTATGATGATGTCCCAGAAGATGATGACATGATTGTCATTGAATAAATGAGTGAATTCTTGATACTGTAGGATTCACAGTTTGTCTGGTTTGTGTTGACAACCACCGTACTACCATACCGTATACAGGTAATAAATTTCCTTTATTTTCACTTAACAATAAATGTGTACCGTATTCTTCTTCATGGAAAAATAAGACATCCCCTGAAAATAAGACCTAGCGCATCTTTGGGAGCAAAAATTAATATAAAACACTGTCTTATTTTTGGGGAAACAGGGTAGGTGCTCAATAAATACTGCTGAATGAATGAGCTGGGCGAGCAGGCGGAGGGTAGCTCACTGTCCGATCACACAGTAACCAGTAGAGGACTTGCTCTGACGCTCTAACATCACGCTCACTGGGGTGGGGACTTTGTTTTGCCCACTTCTATGTTTCGGGGGCCTAAGGGGTGCCTGCCACTGTGACTGTTTCACCGACCTCCTGGGAGGGGGCTACCCCGCACAGTGCATCTTCGATTAGAAGTGGCCGAGGAGGAGGATGGGTGCCAGAACCAGAGCAGGTGCTAGATCTGCCTGCCAGGGACGGCTCCTAGGACAAGGAGATGCTTGATCACGGGTTTGGGAGAAAGTGCAGGAATGCTGAGCTGGGAGAGGCGGGGACGCTGGGCAGACAGGAACATGGACAAATGGGAGGAAATGGAACTGTTCCACCTGGAGGGAGGTGGCAATGGCAGAGGCAGGAACAGGGCCCAGTCAGAGGGGCTGCGTGCTCAGAGGAAGTGAGAACTTGATCTTGAGGAAGAGGGAGTGCTGGGAAAGGCCTGAGCAGGGACCCGAGCAGACCTGTGTTCTAGAGCGCAGGCTGGAGGGGGCCAGAGGTCCTGAGGGGCCGTATCGGGGGCTGAGGGAAGGGGCTGGGTGGGAAGAGGCTGCAAAAATCATGGGAACGAGTTCTAAGGAATGGGAGGGAGAAATAAAATGAAGTGCTATGGACACGGTAATGACAGTGACACCCAAGGTCTCATCTAATCCTATTTCATGAACCAGAAGCGTCTCACGACCATTAACAGACGAGGCCAGACTCGAAACCTAGGCCCACCTTCCTTCCAAGATCATGTTTCTCTGAGGACACCGCAGTGCCTGTAGTCCCACAAGAAAAGTGATTTTTAAAAAAATCTAATAATTTCCTAACACTTTCTTGGTAGCCATTTGGGATGAAGTTCAAGACCTCAGAGTTTCAATTCAAGGATTTTTGGAATGAAATATTTGGGTTTTTAAGCAGCCGATTTAAAAACCTAGACTGGCCCAGCTGTCCTGGCTCAGTGGTTGAGCATCGACCTATGAACCAGGAGATCACAGTTCAATTCCCGGTGAGGGCACAGGCCTGGGTTTCGGTCTTGATCCCAGTAGGGGGGCATATAGGAGGCAGCAGAGCCATGATTCTCTTTCATCATTAATGTTTCTATCTCTCTCTCCCTCTTCCTTCCTCTCTCTGAAATAAATTTTAAAAAATGAAAAACATAAAGGACAGATTAAAATCCTAGACTGGGAGGGAATGTGTAACCAGGGAGGTTTTTCTCTGTGAGGAAGGACAAAGACCCTAACTTGGTGAGACTGACCGTCCTTGGAGAGCAACTACCACCCAGAAGTACGTCTCTGTCACCAGCTGAGGGTGAAAACCGCAGCCACTTCGCCAGGTCACACTTACTAAAAGCAGGACAGTCACAAGGCCTGAGACCACCAGGATGTTTCAGGTAGTGGCCTGTCCTGAGGACTTGATGTCCGCACCTGCTCCTTCGAAAGGCAGCCATGCGTTCTCTCCTTACCCCATGTAGTCGAGGTCAGAGAAGATGAAGGTCTTGTTGATGTCAAAGCCGCAGGCGATGATGTCCTTGGCATTCTCCACGGCGTAGCCATGGGCCTGGTCCAGGGTCAGGTCCTTCCACAGGTACTTCTCGTCGTCCGTCATCTGGATGACCAAGGGCACATTGAACACGTCCTGCAGCCACCTGAGAGACAGGGGAGAGGCTGACATCCCATTCCCCCTGCAGAAAGATGCCCTCTGGCATCCGAAAACACAGTTCCAACCAACTTCCTGCGTCTAGGCCTCCGTGTCTACAAAATCATGTGATCTTAGATGCTGTTTATCCGATTATCGGTAACGATAAGAGCACTGACATTTATTCAGAGTGCTCTGCAGGCCGGCTCTAGGCTCGTTGTTTTACATGCTTTACTTGTAGCCTTACAGTAATTTTACGAGGCAGGGATTATTATTCCCATCTTGCAGATGTGGAAACTAAGGCTCAGAGCGGTCATTGGCCTATGGTCACATCAGGAAGAGAAGATGTGGCACAGGTCTGATGGTCTTCCTCACCCAAGTGACACCAGGAACGAACTGAGTGAATGGAGGCCACAGAGGCGCCATGTCTCTGACACTGTGGTTTTTCAGCAAACGTGACCTGGTCCTGTCTTGTCGGTTCTAGACACAGCTTATACCCACCGCTCCTGACTTGCTAATAACAGCGAGGAGAGCCCCAGAGCCAGGACTCACTTTGTGAAAATGAACGGGATGAGGTGGCCGACATGCATGGCTTCAGACGAGGGGCCCCTGCCCGTGTACAGGTAGAACGGCTTCTTGTTTTCATAGGCGTCGAGGACTTGGTTCATGTCCCTGAAGGAGAGAGGAGAGGAACTGATTTTTCTGGGGGGAAAATCGAGTTGCTAATGTTCACTTGGAAACGTTCAGACAAACACAGGTAGGAACTAGTTTGCTATTCTTGCTGTGTCTGTAATGGTTCAACAACATGGTTCCTCCTGTGCTTGTTTTCAGAGCAGACATGGGAGCTCGGGATAATGTGTTTAAAGGATGGATGCAGTTGGGCAGCCACGGGAACTCTTTTGGAATTCTTCCCAGTATCAACACTGATACGCCATCTGCTCTGTACACTGTCCTGACACCAGGCCATCACTGCACAGTAACTGTTTGGAGTCGCCCAGACCTGTGGCTCTGGAGAGCAGACTGGGGACATCTGAGGGTTCCCCGGAGCCCTGCCTTAGGGAGGGGAATGGGAGATATGACCGGCTCCCTCAGCCAAGCGGGACCAGGTGTCTTCATCTGGGAGTCTTTCTGGAATCAACCGCCCTCCCCAGGACTGGGGTCCACCAACAAGGCACATGGGTCCTCCTTCCCGACTTTGCCTCAGTAGCACGTGGCTGCGTTTCCATTGCACCTGCCTGGGCCCGCCTTCAGAGATGCTGATTCCAGGGCTGTGGGACATCTGGAATCTGTATCTTTAAAAGGCTCTCCCTGTGACTGCGACATATGAAACCGGGTCTCTGGGGGTTACTGTCTCTTGTTTCTGGGCAAGTTTCCCAAAGTAACAAGGAGACAGTCACCTTTCCCGGAGGTCTGGGGGCCTCCAAATGGACTCCACCCTGTGGCAGGGCTGGCTGCTCAGCGGGGCTGATGATAGGACCATGAGCATCCTGCTTTTCTGTGCTTAGTGTTCATCCCTCCACTCCCCAGGAATGAACACACTGCTTCTGAACAGGAAATAATACAGCACAGTTTTGGAGGGAAAAAGTCCTTTGGCTTTCACAACTAACCAATCCAAATTTTGGGCTTCTAGAGGAGAAGAGCAGGCAGTGGCCCCTTGAGCAGACTGGCCACCTTTGTGGGGCGTCTCTGAGCACTCGCTGTGCAGTAGGTCTGGGGGGGGGTGCCTCACGGACTGGCTGGAGAGGATGAGGCTCCCGTTCCTGGAAGCTTTGCGAGGAGGGTTGGGGTAGGGACTCACTCAGCGGGGGAGGGCGCCCAGGCAGTGCCTATGGTCTGTTTGCAGGTGGACATTGGGTTCTATAGCTCATTGAATCCCCTATTTTATAGATGATAAAATTAGATAGGGGGTGTTCTCAAATTTGAGAACGGCCAAAAGCTTCAAGTCCTACACCTCCGTCAACTGTCACAAGCTACAGTGCCGATGGGCTTTAAAAACATGCTCCGATTATTGGTAACGTAAGGGCATTGCCATTTATTAATGTGTAACCAGGAGTCTTTTCTCTGTGAGGAAAGACAAAGACCCTAACTTGGTGAGACTAATCATCCTTGGAGAGCAACTCATGTTGTATGATTCTATTTAAATATATGTTATTATTGATTTCAGAGAGGAAGGGGAGAGGGAGAAACAGAAACATCAATGAGAGAGAATCACTGATCAGCTGCCTCCTGCAGGCCCCACACAGGGGATCGAACCCGCAACCTGGGCATGTGCCTTGTTCAAGAATTGAACTATGACTTCCTGGTTCATAGGTCGACACTCAACTACTGAGCAACACCGGCTGGGCGTGTGATTCTATTTAGTGATTTTATTTATATGAAATGTGCAGGACAGGTAATTACACAGACAGAGAAAGGAGATTCGTGGTTGCCAGTGGTGGTGGGGAGAGGGAGGAATGGGGACTGCCTGCTCATGGGTAGGGGCTTATTTTCGGCGTGAAGAAAGTGTTCTGGAATTAGATGGTGGCGATGGTTGCACAACCTTGTGAACAGACTGAAAACCACTAAACTGTATACTGGGGAAGGTGAACTAAATCTCATTCAGGAAAGAGCTTTGATTACATTCTGCCCGTGAGGAAGGCGAATGAGGCCTGGATTTCTCTGCCACAGAATCTGAAGTGTGGGACAGACTGCCGACTGTGACCTTGTGTGCTCCTATAGCCGTGAATGGGAGAGAGCTGGACCATAAGTTCCATGAACAAAGCCTGGAAGATGGGCTGGCCCGAACCCAAGGTCATCTCAGGTGGGAGAAGCAGAAGCCCTTCTGGAAGCCGCTCATTTTCTGTTTCCTGCAATGTACTTACGATCTAAAGTGGGGAAATATGGTTGCATATACACTCTATTAGTTTCTCTTCTGATATTATTTTTGAGCAGGCCAGCACAATAGAAGGAAGAGGGTACGTAGTTTCAGGAAGCCTACCGTGTGGGAAACAATGAGCTTGGAAAGAATCTGGCAGGAATCTCATCCTCTGTGAATGTAACCTTCACCTAGTAGACAGTTTTTTACTTTTATTTTTAAATCCTCGCCCGAGGATATTTTTCCATTAATTTTTAGAGAGAGCGGAAGGAAGGGGGAGAGACAGAGAAACACTGATGTGAGAAAGACACATCAATTGGTTGCCTCTCACAGGTGCCTTGACCAAGGTTGGGGATCGAGCCTGTAACCCTTGACCAGAATCAAACCAGGGATCCTTTAGTCTGAGGGCTGACACTCTATCCACTGAAACAATCCAGCTAGGGGCATGAAATGGACAATTAATTGATGAATAAACTAAGGGCCAGAGGGTGAAGGGATGTGTTACTGACAGGGCAGAGGTGGGTCCAAGTCTCTGACAACTGCATTCCATCTCCACACAGTATGAGGCAGCCTGAGGGAATAGCCCAATCATTTTAAATATATACAGAGTGGGCAGATTATTATGATCTCTGGACACATAGTAATCTGGCCACTCAGTATAGATCCTATATAATATCCTACATAATAAAAGGCTAATATGCAAATTGTCCCCTCAACCAGGAGTTAGACCAGCAGGCAGGCCAGCCAACTGCCCATGTCCCCTCTCCCTGGCCAGGCTGGTCGGACTCCACCCATGCACGAATTCATGCACCAGGCCTCTAACACACACACACACACACACACACACACACACACACACTGAGTGGCCAGATTATTATGCGTTCAGAGATCATAATCATCTGGCCACTCAGTGTGTGTGTGTGTGTGTGTGTGTGTGTGTGTGTGTGTGTGTGTATACATATATCTATATGTTTTGATTTCAGAGAAGAAGGGTGAGAAGAGAGACAGAACTATCAATGATAAGAATCATTGATTGGCTGCCTAGTGCACCCCCCCCCACAGGGGATGAAGCCTGCAACCCCAGCATGTGCCCCAACCAAAAATTGAACCTGGTTCATAGATCAACGCCTACTACTGTGCCACTCCGGCCGGGGCCCGATCACTCTGTGAACTGAAGAGGAAGGGGCGAGTCCTCGGGGACGCTCACCTGTGTGAGAAGAAGATGCCCCTGCGCAGGAAGCGGTGTGGCCTCTGGCCCGTGGCTCTCTCTATGCGGTTGATCAGCTCTTTGTCAATTTTGCTGCTTCCGAACCGGACTGGGAAAAAGAAGAGAGGGCCGTCTTAGGAGTGGGGGTTTAGTGACCAGGCATTAAGGGAAAAACATCGCACTGTTATTGAACTACACCAAGGCCTCTGCTTCCGGTCCTTTACCCCAACATGAAGTCCAGGGTCTTTTGCACTAACAAGACAGCTGAGATCACAACCAGCAAAACAGAAAACAAATTGCAGGATAAAATGCCGTTTTGTCTGGTACTGGATTCCGGTCTAGCTAGCAGCTTCTCACGTGCGTGCGCACACACAGTTGCTTATTGTTCACTAAAGTAAAGTTTATATACACTGACAGCTATATTTTTCAGTGTCTTTTAATTGTTGAATTTTCCCTATTGATGGTCTATATTTAAAAATCACGGAAAATGGTGTGACTTGGGTAAGAAGTTTTGGTTGACTCTTCAATGGTTAGCGATGATGGCAGAGTGAGGACTTTCCTGACAAGAAGCCCCTCCCGGAAGGGCCACCTGTGAGCAGTGACCCCCTCCCGCCGACTTCCAGAGGGTTAGCGTCTTAAATGGCACCACTGAGGAGAAACTTAAGTGATCTGTGACTGACTTGTCACCACTGAGTGAAAGGCAGTTTTAATGACTGTAAAGTACCCATTTCAACAGATCCTTCTCAAGTTCTGAATTGTTAAAAAAGGGAAAAGAGCTGAAACCGATTTGGCTCAGTGGATAGAGCGTCGGCCTGCGGACTCAAAGGTCCCAGGTTCGATTCCGGTCAAGGGCATGCACCTTAGTTGCGGGCACATCCCCGGTGGGGGGCGTGCAAGAGGCAGTCGATCAATGACTCTCATTGATATTTCTAACTCTCTCTCCCTCCCTTCCTCTTTCTAAAAAATCAATAAAAAAATAATTAAAAAAAAAAAGTGTGCCTTCCTCTTTAAAAAAAAAAATTAACAAGGGAAAAGGTACTACTAAGTTATCTATGATAGATCCTTATTTTGCAATAAGCTTTATTTGGTTACTTTACTTAACAATCCTTTAGGAATATAATGCACCACCAAAGTATTTTAGGATATATGTTTTTTTCTTGGCACTGAAGCTTGACTGGATTTATGATCAATATTAGAAACATCCATGGAACCAATACTGAAAGTCTGGGCTTTTCCCAGGACGTACCAATGAGCTTGTCATAGTCAACGCCTTTTGCACTGCTCGTCTGTACCGTCCACGGGTCCACAAAGTCCTCTTCAGCTTCCGTGGCATCCGGGCCCCTCTCCCCCGCAGGTGCCGGGTTGTTTGGGGGGCAGTCAGGCTTATAGTCCTCCCCCATGGCCGCTTTGTAGCTCATCTTTAGTGATAATAGCTTCTTCACCGCAGAATCAAGTTCATCCTGAACACAAGAAAGCGGGTGAAGGATGAAGACGTTAACAGTGGCTAACATTTGCTGAATGTCACTGCTGCCACGTGGTAGGCACTGTGTGAATGCTTTCACACACATTGCTTCATTTAGTCTCACAGCAAGCTTGGGAGGCAGGACTCGTTCTACCTTGTGACTCAGAGAGGTGAAGAACTTGCCCATGGACACACAGCAAGTGTGGGCTTGAATGCATTCTATTTTTACCTGCCCCTCTAGGGCCACGGATTTCCACCGAACACGATGGGGATAGACACAGTAACACAGTCTACACTGTGACAGTCACTACACCAAAGAGTCTCAAACCAGATGAAGAGACCAAGCATGACAAGATCCTGTGCTCCATTACAGAGGTCTGCGTAGGCTGACAAGAATAGTTACAGAAACCTCAACCGCCATGCCACCAAGGACAATAACAGCAACTCAGACATCATGAAGACAGACAAAGGCCAGGAATGACTAGGGCTCTCAGGTCCCAGCCTGAGGAGGGTCCACGGGAAACAGCTGTGCTGCTGCCCCAAGTGTTTGCCTGTTTGTCGTTTCAGAATAAGCATGAGGAACACAGATGTCAAGCGTCTCTGGGCATTCTGCAAGTCTGCTGGCCTCCTCTCCCAGGAGCCCCCCCAGCTGCCCCCGGAAGCCTGGCATTTCAGAGGAGGCCTAATTAGGCAGCTTAGGCATGGACAGCCCTACAGCTCCGCTCCCGTAATTGGCCCGGCTGGCTCAGCTCACAAACAACATCCACAGTCCAATTTGCTTGCAAGGAAAATACAAATATTTCCATGTGGAGTTTTTACGTAACGTTATAAACAGGACTGCCAGTGGACACACGCCAACGCTCCCCTCCACTCGGAGAGCCGCTCCGCCAGGCAGGGCATCTGCTCTTGTAGGGTGGCTAGCAGACAGATTTGTGTTTCCGACTCTGAAACTAGCTAGAATTCACTTAAACCAACCAGAGTTGTGTAATCAGTAAGCCTCCAGACCTCATATGGGACAGGATGTCTGGGTTACATGGGCAGGTATGTCTGATTCACCTCGTTTCTGCAGTGTTTAGGCTCAGCGCTTACAAAAAAATAAACGTTGAGCAAGCATGACCCACCCCGTTAACTGTGGGAAGAACGACCTTGCTTGGGAATACACTGCAGTCAATACCCTGCCCTCCCTGGCTGTGTTGACATTTCACACCCAATCTCACCTAACTCCGCTTGCAAGCAGGTGGCTGGATGAAAGCTAAACATTTCACCGTGTCCCTGTTGGAAGGCTGGCTGGAGCCTGAATGGGACTGAACCAGGCAGGCGGGCTCACCTCGCCTCTTCTTGTCCTCGACCTGACATGCACTGCAGCACTGCAGCAGAAGTGAAAAGCTGATGTTCTGAAAAAGGCCAGGCACAAAAGACTATGTGCTCCTGGATTATATAAAATAATGAACTATCCAGGGTGAAGGGGTCAGGGTGGGGGCCTCCCTTGGGAGAACAGAGGCAGCGGCCGGGGATGGCTTCTGGCGCTGCCAATGCTGTTTCTGCACGTGGGTGGTGACACAGGTGTGGATCTTATGAAAATTCAATGAGCTGCCTGCTTGTGACCCCAATGCTTTTCTGTATGATGGTGTATTTTGATTTTAAAAGTTTACTTAAAGTAAAAGGAGGAGAAAAAAGGCTCTGGTCTCTATTCTAACCCGGATGATCCAGTGTCATTTCTGAGTGCTGTTCAAACTGCACACGGCCTCAGCCACTGCCTCCCAGAGTCCCCAGATCCTGTCTTACCCCCTAATCCCCAGAGTGTCTTGACTCCCCTCAATTCCCCCCACCACCTCCAGAGCATCCCTGCAATAATGAGCTGCTGTTGCTAAAAGCAGCGGGTCTCCCTTCCTCTGTACATGCCAAGGACCACGGCCCAGACAGATGGCAGACAGCTGGTGAAAGCTCGCAGCACCCGCACTGGAGTTGGCCCCGAGTGGCTATTTTGCTTAAAGGGAATTTCTAAAACATCGGGTGCTTCGATTACAATCATTTTAGGGTTAGATACAAACTTCTGAATTCATTGTTTAACTCTGGTCCCAGTGTGCAACCTCTGCTCTCTCTTACTGAGTGGCAGCTGACTCGGCTTGGTCAAAGGCCATGCTTGGAAGAGTCAGGCTACTGTGCTAAGTATCGTTAGTTTGCTAAAATAATGAACCTAACTGTAACTAAGAATTACTAATGAAAATATTTATTAAATCTATTCAAATTTAATGTTAAATAGAAAAAATCATGGGTCTATAGAGTCAATAATCAACAGTTGGGTCCTTATTTTAGACTAGAGGTGTGGTGCATGAAATTTAGGTACAGGTGGGGTCCCCAGGCCTGGCCAGTCATCAGGGCCTATCAGGGCCATCTTGCTCAGTCCCGATCAGCGCTGGCTGGGGCCTGGGGGCCTGCTGGCCACTGGCCGAAGGAAGTGGGGGACCACGGGAGGTTTGCTGGCCAGAGGGAGAGACCAGGGGAGGTTGGCCGGCCATGGGAGGTTGGCTGTGGGAGCGCAATGAACATCAGGGGGCAGCTCCTGCATTGGGCATCTGCCCCTTGGTGGTCAGCGCACGTCATAGAGACTGACCAACCAGTCGGTCATAATGGTTGCTTAGGCTTTTATATAAATAGATTAAAAAAATTTTAGCCTTATCTATTGAGCCCTACCTGGTGTGTAAACCTCTTTTTGTGACAAAACTCCCTTTTTTTGACATCACTTTCTTTCAGTATTTATTTCTTTTACAATGTCATGGTTTATTTGAGATCCAAAGAATCTGAAATGGTTGACACAACTGCTGTGGACATTTTCAAAACTAAGATCACAGGGGTTGGCAGATCACACTCTGAGACCCACGCCAAGCACAGCAAAGGGTCTCCCTGTAGTAACCCCAGGAGGACAAGGAAAGAGGAAGAGGACACAGCAGCTGATTTCAGAAGCTGGGAAGCGGACGGACGATTTAACTGGCTGAATACGTGAGAACAAATGTGTGGATGTCCTGGAAATACTGGACAGCAACTGGACTTCGACGGTGTGGAGTCCCCAGGAGATTGGGGCACCAGTGGCCTCAGGTGCTTAAGGAAGTGAGGGTAAAGGGGGCTACAAAAACAAGAGAACTGGTTGAAAGCCTGTTTTGTAAACAGTTATTCAGACTTCTATCCTGGACTCCTGACACAGCTGAGTGAGTGCCTCTGCCCCCAGCCCAAGGCTTAGTGTCTAGCGAGGGAGAGTGAAAGGGGTCCATACCTGGGGCTCTCTGCCCGGGAGGGGCAGCACACTGGGAATAGGGAGCTTTGGGGAAGAATCACCCAGCCCAGCTTCTCCGTCCTACTCAGAGGCACGATGCTGGCACCAGACCTGCACTCGGGATAGCAGACTGCAGGACCCCCTCTGGGGACCCGACTAATCTCAAAGAAGAGACCTGAGGACCCTGACAGTGAGAGTTCCCAACAAAGGGGAGCAGCCTGGTGGTCGCCAGGGAAGGGAAACTGCACCAATCAGCTCTCCCCATGTGCACGAAGACCAGCCAGCGTCTCTACTTCCTTTTGGAACACCAGGGCTAGCTGAGTACCAGCCGGCACTTGAGAGTTGCCTCTAATGTGAAGGGCAGAAGAAAATGGAGTTTATAAAAGGGCAGAGAACATCAGGGAAATGATCCCAAGATCTCAGAGATAAAAGGACACTGAATCTATAAAGTAAGAGAAGGGCCTTATGAGGAAAGGAACATTCGGAGATTTAATGAGCTCTTGGAAGTTGATAATCATGGGATAAGTGAGAAACCACAGGAGGGTCAGAAGTTGAAAGAACACCTGAAAGAAGAATGGAATAAAAATAAGAAAACTAAGTAAAAAAATAAGATCAGAAGACCTGCCTCTGAATTTAAAAAAATCAGCCAAGAAACAGAGAAAACGGAAGAGATAAAAAAAAAATACTATCACTTCTGAGGTTTAAATACCATGAACTTCTAGTTTGAAAGAGCACTGAGCAAACACCCATCCCAAGAAACTTCAAAACACAGGCACAAAGAGATCCTGCAATCGCCCAGTGAGATAGAACAAAGGAACCACCCGGATCTCCACAGCAACCCCAGCAATAGGGCTTCAGAGATGAAGGAAATCCACTTCCACTTTCGATTTCTATAACCAGCATTGTTATCAAATATTAGGTAAAACAAAGATACTTTCAGACTCTCTGAGAGCCCTCAACATTCTTTCCTTGGCAGTGATTTTTTCAGAAATCACTGGAGGATTTGTGCTGCCCAAAGAGAGCTCACCCTCAGGCTCAGGAAACAGGGACCTACGGGGAAGTGAGGGAGCCCTGGTGGGCAGCGAGGAGAGCCTACAGTGGGCAGTGTGGGGGGCGAGCTGCCAGTCCAGGACAAAGTAGCAAGGAGGTCTGGGAGAGACCTTGATTGACGTGTTGATGTGATGTGAATTTCCAGGGGAAATTCACCCAACCGAGGGAGAGCTTGGACCCATTGTCATGAGTCCATAAAAAAGCCAAGCAAAAATAAATAAAAATAAATTAATCAAGGCCAGAGAAAACAAAGCTGGCCAGGAAAGGAAAAGCCCTCTGTATACTCAGTGGGTCTGCCAGTAGCATTGCCATGGTTAGAATAAAGTCAATGCTAGCATCGACCAAGGGACTCAGGTATCAGGAGACGGAGGGATGAAGAATGTGCAAGTGCTAACTCCTCATTTTCCACAGTGATAGCATTCAACTGGGCAATCAACAAGGAGCAATGTAATAAGCGTGGTTGTTTAGAGATATGGGAATTATATATTAAAAGAAGCAGCTAAGAGAATTGAAAATACAAAGGAACCTAATTTCTCAAACTTAATTTGTTTCGGAAGGCTGTTTGAGAAGTGATTAGTTTGAAAACGGAATCATTTTTCCCATTAGAAGTAATGAAAACTGAATTAATCAGTCCCAGGCCCCAAATGATTCCTTTTCTTATATACAGTATGTTTCTAATGTATTGTTTATAAATAAACACTACTTTTCTTAAATGTATCAAACCACCCCTTAAACGAATTTTTCACGTGTCACTGCCTGGGAAATGCTATCACCGCTAACTCCTTTTTGTTTACCCAGTAACAAGAGATTTTCTATCTGTTCAGTTGATTGTGATTGCAGATTTGTGAGCACTCTCACACCCTTAACAACATTAGCACTGTTGATGGCCTGTTTGTTTTAAAATTGTGCTAATCATAGATTTCTACAGCAACAAAAGCGTTCTCTCCTTTATTTGTTGCCCGAGACACTTTTTTTTATTTTTTTATCATGTTGAGGTATCAGCATGAAAGGGTTGTCAGGTCAAAAATGAAGTTTTGGTTTGACAACCGAGACTTTTTTTCTGTGAACAACTTAGTTGAGAACCAAATTGTTCCAGATGAGAGACATTCAAGAAACGGGATTTGACTGTACATGTTTCTGGGAGCAGGAAATGAGGATGGGCAGGTGGATGACTGCCGTATTTCACTGGCTTTTCTTTACCTCACATCCTATATAATAAAGACTGTCACACTCTCACAAATGATGGCTGCCTATGACCAGGCTGGCAGGGGGTTAGTCAGGGACGTCCAAATGACTGAACAGCATACTGGGTGGGGCAACCAGGCCAGCTGGGGGACAGTTGGGGGGCAATTAGGCTGGCAGGGGAGGCAGAGAGGGGCAACTTAGTTGGCGGGAGGGCAGTTGGGGGGTGACCAGTCTGTCAGGGGGAGTTGTTGGGGGTGACCAGGCCAGCGGGGAATGGGGGGCAGTTAGGGGCAATCAGGCTGGCACCCAGAGGCAGTGAGGGGCGATCAGGCTGGCAGGGGGAGGCGGTTAGGGGTGACTAGGCAGGCAAGCAGGTTAGCAATTAGGAGCCAACAGACCAGGATTGTGAGAGGGATGTCCAACTGCCAGGCTGGGTCCTAAACCAGCATTAGGACATCCCCCAAGAAACCCAGGATTGGAGAGGCTGCAGGCTGGGCTGAGGGGACCCCCCTCAGTACGAATTTCGTTCACTGGGCCTCTAGTGCATCAATAATGTTGATAAAGGAGAAGACAAATGTAAGATGATAGCCAATATAGTTATAGTCAGTTACTGGGAGCACAGTCAGCGCTCGGGGAACACAATCCAACAGACTCTGGTGTACCTGGGGGAAGAGCCCGGCAAAAGCACCCACCTTGGCCGCCTGCCCGGCTTTGAGGGCTCTCACGCGCTCTCCCTGGGCAGCTATGCTGTTGAACAGCTCCAGCGGGGAGGCTCCCCCCTGCTCGTCCGCCATCTCCGAAGACCTAGGCTTACAGCTGGGCAATGGAAGAGTCGCTCAGTGGTCCTGACACACTGGGAGAAGAGGAAGAGAAGGAGGGAGAGAGGTTAATAAACGGTTGCAGCTGTGTTTTCTTTCCTCTATCTAGTTTTTCCCCCCCGAAAAGGGTTGAGGTTGAGTTATAGGGTGTGCCCCACGCAGGGCCCAGGACGGAGGAAGGACTGTTTGCTGAGGGGCAAACACCAAAGGGCTTTCCTGTCCCCACCTTTAACAGCCCCAAACATATCTGTCAAATTGCTCTTTACTCTTTAATTGCATTGTGGACATGTTCTCAGACCTTTGCTGCTCTGGCCAACCTACGGCTGAACAAATGGCTTCCTGGCTGGCCAGCTGCTTGGTTCTCAGACACGCAAGGTCTCGGGTAGAGGGCGGGGCCTTACCCTGCTGGGTTCCAAATGAGGTAAGAACTATATATAACCTGTCATTAGACATGCTGCTTTACTTAACAACAAAGCTTTGAAGAAGTACCTAACAGTCACTATTTACTCTTAACCTTGAAGGGGGTCGGGGGGCAAGGGGAGGTCACCCGATGCTGCCAAGGGTCAAAGGTTGGCCATATCAGTCCCCTCCTGGGTCACTTCCCCTTTCTGAGGGTCAGTTCCTCATCTATGAAGTCACACCATCAGGAACCTCTGCACCTCCCGCAGGGGCTGCTATGAGAAAAAAGGATCCGGCGACATTGTGTAAACTGTAAAGCAAGAACTAAGCCCAGCACGAGCACTGTGCGTGAGGGTTCCAGGGCCCGGCCCACCCGTAGCTGCTGCTACATCTAGAACACGGGGGCCAACAGGACGACGACAGAGCGGCTCTCCCAGCTCTCCGGTGGCTGGTGTCGTTCTGAGCACTTTATACACATCAATTCACCCGAGGCTTCTGAGCTACATTATCTCCATTTCACAGGTGAACAAACTGAGGCACAGAGAAGTTAAAAAACTTTCCCAACTGCCGAAACCGGTTTGGCTCAGTGGTAGAGCGTTGGTCTGTGGACTGAAAGGTCCCAGGTTCGTATCCGGTCAAGGGCATGTACATTGGTTGTGGGCACATCCCCGGTGGGGGGTGTGCAAAAGGCAGCTGGTTGATGTTTCTCTCTCATCGACGTTTCTAGCTCTCTATCTCTCTCTCCCTTCCTCTCTGTAAATAATCAATAAAATATATTAAAAAACTTTTCCAATTTAACACACCAAGTAAGTGATACAGATGGGATACAAACCGACACAGTTTGATCTGAGAGCCCACACTCTCAACTATTTCCCACAGGTTACTGAAATATGGTAGCAATCATACTTGGGTAAAACTTGCTGTTTGAATTTTAACCTTGCTATCTGACTTCGACCTTCGATTACTTGCTTAAACAATAGGGTAGTTACAGGAGATTGACTCCCACTGACTCAGTAGTTCAGGGGTAGAAACTATAGATAACCTTTAGAGATTAACCTCTGAGTCCTGCTTTTGTATTATGGGCAAGATAGGGCCACATTCCAATGTTCCCAGCCTTTAGAATTTAGAGCAAAGGGAAATTCTTATGGTTTGAAGCTTTAAAAAGGATTGCCTACAGGTGGATCAGTGCGGTAGTGTGGGGCCCACCTGCGTGTGATGCTCCCGGGCAGTCCTGGCCAGTTTTTCAATAAACCCTTGCCTGCTTTTTTAAAATCAATCTTCAGCCTCCAGTGGTCTGATATTGAACCCAGGGTTCAACCCTACAACAGTTACCTGCCTGGAACGAGACTCAGCTCCTCAAATGTGAAATGTAACCGGCATTGTAACACTAACTGCAGGCCGGTGTGTGGGTAAGTGCGATAACGCAGGGAAGCAAACAATCTAGTCCAGAACTGGCCCCATGGTGGAGGGTTAATGAATGACTACTTTGTTTGTTAATTAAAAAATTCTTTTCTGGCCTTGATGCGTATGGCTCAGTTGGCTAAGTGTCATCCCATACACCAAAAGGTTGCCGGTTCCATTCCTAGTCAGGGTTCACGCCCAGGTTTTGGGTTTGATACCAGTAAAGGTGTGTGCCAGAAGCAACTGATCTCTCCCCCCCCACCCCCCTTTATATCTCTCTCTCAAGTCAATAAAAACATATTAAAAAATTTTTTCCCTAGTAACTCTATGAAACAAACACTTGTTGAGGAGTGATTTACTTTTATTTATCCATTGCTAAATATTTGTTTCAAAATATGTAAATTTCACCAAAACCATTCTTTGTATAATCAGAGACCATAATACTGAAGCCAAGATGGGTATCTTCCCCTTTCGGGCAGACAACCACCTCAATTCCCAGAAAGGGAAGTTTGGTGAAATAACAAACTGATATAACAAAGCTCAGGGAAGTCTGTAAAAAAGGGGAAGAAATGAAGATCCTTCTGATAGGTACTAGAGAGGAGAAATACTCAGGACAATATCAAATGGCAAAGTGAAGAAAATTACTTCTAGCCACAAGTGATCAAATATCATGTGCAGACACTTTACACATGATCCCGAATTTCCCCAACTTTCAAAGCCGACCTCACAGTTCAGTAAGTCCTCATGTAACGTCACCGATAGATCCTGACACTTTAACCAGTTAACTGCCACGATATTTTGAATTTAATTAAAAAAGGTCCTCTGGTTGCGTCCATAGACGCTTAGGGCGTACAAATGGTTAAGCAAAATGACACAGAACCAATTTTATCCTAGGGTAATTGATGTAAACAAGAGTTAAGTTCCTACAGCATCTCATCAACATTATCAGTCAAGTTCTAAACCCTGTGAGTAGGACCAAAATCAAGAACAGGTGGCAATTACCCTTAAACATTCCTAGAAAAGTGCCAGGTACGATGACTGGCTGATCCTCGGACAGCCAATCTTCCCTGCTATGGAGCAGCTCACTGCAAGCGATCAACCAGACAAACTGGGCCTGCAATTAGGGTCCAAGTTGTAGGGACGAAAACACATAACTTTAAATATCAGAATCCCATTTCAAAAGAGGCACGTGGGGACTAAATCCGACTGAGGGAAAGATGAGGTCTCCCAGCTCTTGTGATCACAAGCCAGTTACTCACGGCATGGGAATCCCCACGCTATAAATCGTGTGTGTGTGTGTGTGTGTGTGTGTGTGTGTTTCTGATGCAACTTTGTGAGTGAGTACATCAGGAATGATCAGACAAGGAGAACAGAGCTACCACTTCTCTCATTTCATGCACTCACCCATTTGCCACTGCTTCTCCCATCTAGTCAGTATCCTCCTTTAGTTCTTTGTTAGCTAACTTTAAGAATTAAGTTTACCTTCAGAGGTTTTTAACCCTGAGTTTGGAATTACCTCTGGAATTACATCACTATTTGCATGCACATTGGTATAAATGGGGTTCTAAGCAGAGTATCCAGGTTTCATTACTTTTTCAAAGGGGTTCTGAGATGCCAAAAGGCTAAGGACCATTGTCTTAAGTGTTAACCACATAAACTGCAAATAGGGCTTTGAATCTTTTTTTAAGGAAAGCTGCTCTATCTATTAAACCAAGCCTATAATCTAAAACAAAGAAATGAAGCTATAATCTGTGAAGTCATCTACTACCTCCTCTAAAAAGGTACTGGGAGTGTCAAGACCATTATGGCACACTTCCCAGTGGACCACAGCAAACTTTGGTCCAGAGCTAAAAGGCTGTGAAAAATTAACTCCCGATTCCTCTTTCTAAACAATAGGGATCTGGTGCTCATTTTTTAATTATTATTATTATTTTTTATTTTAAATCAATCTTTATTGTTCATATTATTACCAAAGTTCATTTTCCCCCCTCCACCAGGATCCCACCCCACTGCCCATTGTCCTCATCCATAGGTGCACAGTTTATGTTCAGTCTCTTCCCGCACCCACCTCTCTCCTTTTCCCCAAGAACTGTCAGTCCACTCCCCTTCCGTATCTCTGATTCTATTATAATCAACAGCTAATATTGTTCATCAGGTTTAAAAAAATTTTTTTTAATTAATAAACTTTCACATTGTTTAAAGATAGCTGCTGGCTGGAATTGGATTACCTGTTCTGGGTGGGAAGGGCTTGTCCTCCCCTTTCTCCATTAAAATTAAGGTGTTAGCTTTAAAATCTCTTTTTGGCAAGAGACCTTAAACTTTCAGAACTTTAAATTTTCAGGTAGCAAATCAATTACTTAGCATTTTCTCAAATCAATAATACTTCCACATTCCCAAGGAGACACTTCACACAAAAGACATATCCTAGTAGATCAGCCAACCTCATCCAGACCCTACACCTAGTGCTCATTTTGAAAGGTTCCATTGTCCTGGGGGAGCGTAACTGGACCTGAAAAACTGGGATGAAAAGAATCACAGAGCCAAAACCGGTTTGGCTCAGTGGATAGAGTGTCAGCCTGAGGACTGAAGGGTCCCAGGTTCGATTCCAGTCAAGGGCATGTACCTTGGTTGCGTGCACATCCCCAGTGGGTGGTGTGCAGAAGGCAGCTGATGGATGTTTCTCTCTCATCAATGTTTCTAACTCTCTATCCCTCTCCCTTCCTCTCTGTAAAAAATCAATAAAGTGTATTAAAAAAAAATACGAAAAAGCTGTAAGCCTGACAAAAGATGGCAGGCAGTACATACCTGTTCTGAGCGAGACACTGCAGAGGCGCCACCGGAGCAGTGGAGACTCCCAGTGCCGCAGGCTCTTCTCTTATAGCCTTCCCCCTCTTACTTTCAGTTTCCTTTTCAAAAAAGCCCCTTTATTCTCTTTTCTTCCTGTTTACCCCACCCAGCAACCATTTGCAGGAGGCGTTTCTTATAAACCACCCAGTTTCTCTTAAACACTTGAGCCTCTTGACCAATTCCCGACCAGACAGTCCAATCAGGGGTTTTGTGTGTGTATGTGTGTAGGGGGGGCGGGTGAAGACCCAATGAAACCCTCTCGAGAGCCCAACTATTAGCTGGTCATTGCATCAGCCACTCCATACGGCACGCTGGCCTCCACATAACCTCCTCGCCCGCTTCCCGGTTCACACCCTCAGTCTCAGAGTCAGTGGGGGGCGGAAAGGAGGACTGTATATGCCCTGCGGCCCCTGGGCACGGGCCCCGGTGCAGCGACGGGGCGCAGGGCGGTGGAAAGAGCAGTCCTGGGGTCACGCCGACGGACCGGGGTTTCAAAGCCAGCTTGGCATTTTTTGATTTCAAGACCTTGGGCAAGTCAGGTTACCTCTGCTCCATCCTCAGTTTCCTCTTCTGTGAAATGGGCACAAAGGAGCCTTCTTACTTTACCATAAAGGGGACTAAGGCTGATGTTATAGGCAAAGCCCTTGGCACGGGGCAGACACTAGAGGAGAGGATGAAGGGTCGGTGCCTGCGGGAGCTGGCCACAGGCCGGGTGGGCGGCGGGGAAGGGGGCGAGGGGCGTGGTGGCAGGAGCCGGATCTCGGGGTACTCCGGTCCCGGCGTGCAGGCGGCTCCGGGAGGACGGGCCGTCAGTCGCCGCCCCGACTTCCCTCCCTCTTTCCCTCCCTTCCTTCCTCACTTACCGGCCCATGCGGGCCTCTCGGCGCCGCCGGTTCCGCGTCTAGGCGTCTCCTAGGCGTCCGTGGAAACGCCGTCCGGCCGGAAGCACTTCCGGCCCGGCTGCGCTACCATTGGCTGTCCTCGCGGGGGCGGGACGGAGGCCACCGGTGATTGGTTGGCCGCCTCGGCGCTGGCGGAACAAGGCTCCGGGCCGGAGTGCAGGTGGCACCAGCTCCGGCAGGACCGGCTCCGGGAGAACCGAGCGCTTCCGGTGTGTGTGTACGGTGAGCGGCGGGCCTGGGGCGGGAGGGTGTGCACCCGGCGGCGGCGCGAGTCCTCCGCGCCCCTCCTCGCGGGCCTCTCGCCGCCGCCGCTCTCCTCCGCCTCGTCTCCGGCTCCTTCCGAACGCGCCGCGCTCGGGATCCACCCTTACCTCTCGCTCTTGACGGCCCGGCTAACTCCCGTTCATTCTTCAAAACCCACCCAGCTCTGGTCGTATCTTGCTTCTTATCTTCATTAGTCTGTGGCCTCCGGCACAGGATCCGCGTTTCGTGTTTCATCTCTGGCCACATCAGACCCAGCACAAGGCTTGGCACAGAGTGGGCCATCAGGAGATGTTTGTTGAATGAGAACGTCCTATTTCTTTACTTTCTCCGTGGCCCCTCCCACCAGGTGCTGGGGATCAAACAGTGAACAAAACACGAAAACTCCTGTCAGGCCGGCGAGTTCCACTACCTCGTTCCTCCCGTGACCTTCCCTTTTCTTCTAGCTGTACCTCTTCCCCTTTGTTTAATCACCCCGTCTTTCCATGAAAAATTTTCCTTCCCCCCCGCTTTTTTGCGTTAGAAATCTAAAAACCTATTCTTAGGAACAAACACATTCTCCTAAAATTTGTTTGACCCACCGGCTCCCCATTGTTGCCCGTTTTCTTTGAATCAGCTTGGTTCCCTTCTCTCTGACCCCACTTGATTGGATTTGTTCTGTCTCGCCATCTGCTCCCTGACCTCCTAGGAGCATTATTCAGCTGTCACCTGTCCTAGGCCTGCCTCAGCCCCCCTCAGCGAAACCCCAAACCGCTGCCACCTCTCTCTTTTACTTCTCTCCTTATGATTTCTCACCACCGACACCCCATATTTCAGTGATCATGATCTGTTTCTCCCCACTGGCATGTGAGCACGGTGGGGGCAGGGCATTGTTTCCCTGGTGCCTACTGTGGGTCCTGGTGAGTAGCCCATTCTCCATCAGTGTTTGCTGAATGAATGAAAGGTACATGAAGCAGGTAGTATTGGCATCTCTGTCGTCCACTCTCCTGCATCATTCCATCCTTGCTGCTTTGTCTTGTTAGGAAGCAGGGCTAGGGGGCCCTAGTCTCACCCCCCTCTGATCTTTTGCTGTAGACCTTGTCTTTAATTCTGCCGTGGGCTTCTGTGAGGGAACCACTGTGGAGGGCCTGGTGGGTAAGAATCCATCCTAATGGCCAAGCACAGGCACCCTGCCGTGGGGGTGGGGACCTGGTGGGTTCCCTATGTCAGGAAGCAATGGGACGCTGTGCACAGGCGTTGAGATGTCTGATCAGGATGGGCCTCAGGATCACGATGGGTATTTAGAGAACAGAAGTGCCAACTCATCCATGGTGCTCAGTTCCATTAGTGTATGGTTAGTTCGCTACGTTATATTAGTTCCATGTGAGACGGGCTGGCCTGTTTTAGAAGTTTTCTTTAGACGATGGCATTGTGTATGGATTAGGCTGCAGGTGAGGGTGGGATTTTGGGGAGGAGTCTAGCTTGTTTGGGGTGAATGGCATCCTTTGGGGGAAAGGCGTGGAAGGGGTGGGGTATTTGATTCCAGGGGGACGTTTGGAATCCCTCTCTAGGGGAGGACAGGCTGTCTGGAATGGTTTGACTGATGATCCAGAGGGATTCCTCTGGCGCCGACCTAACCAGGCGCAGGGGAGGAGGAGTTCAGCGGGGTTTGTGAAGGAGCGAGGGCACACTGGGCTTTGTCCGAAGTTGGTCCTTGCTGAAGTTTTCCCTGCTGCTCCACCGCGCCCTCTGCTGTTCGAGACGGGGCGTTTCCAGCATCCTCGTTTCCTCTTGAGGCTGGTTCCTGTTAACAGCGCAGAACTGAACTCCAGATGGAATACTTCTTTCTAGAAACTAATTGGTAACCGTTTCGTCATGTGTGACGGTTCAGAATTTTAGGAAAATCTTTTTTTAGGAAGGGGAAACTCCCTGCTGTGTGAGTCAGTGTGTTGGAGTGATTTGGATGACACCCTCAGCACCTCCGCCTTGGCTTGTGGGTCTGTCCCTCCAACTGGCTTAGAGTGGAGATGGGATATCTGGGGGAGAGCGTTCCAGAGAGAATACAAGGAAGGACTGGAGCCCAGAAAGAGGGCAAAGGTGAGGGGAGCACGCGTTCCCCACCTGGTGGGTCTTTCCATCTCAGAGTTTTCAGACCTAACCTTATCCCTTATGATTTCTCACCACCGACACCCCACATTTCAGTGATCATGATCTGTTTCTCCCCACTGGCATGTGAGCTGAGTGAATGGCTGGGAAGCTGCAGGCCCTTTATACATCTGTCTTTGCAAACATATGCAGGTATTCGTGTAGGATGCAGTTCTATAGTGGGGATATTGCAGTAAAAGTGATATATGTTTCAATTTATTTTTTATTTTATTTTTATTTTTAAAATATATTTTATTGGTTTTTTACAGAGAGGAAGAGAAAGATAGTTAGAAACATTGATTGGAGAGAATCATCGATCAACTGCCTCTTGCACATCCCCTACTGGGGACATGCCCGCAACCCAGGTACGTGCCCTTGACCGGAATCAAACCTGGGACCTTTCTGTCCACAGGCCGACGCTCTATCCACTGAGCCAAACCGGTTTCAGCTATGTTTCAATTTGTAATACTCGTAGGTACTCCCCAAATTGCCCTTCCAAAAGTTTCTTATTTTTAAAATTATTATGATGTTTTACATCTTTAATTTTTATTAAGATACCATTGATATATAACCTTGTGCAAGTTTAAGAAATACACGTGCTGATTTGGTACATTAATATATTGCAATATGAGTACCACCATAGCATTAGATAACAACTTTATTACCCCCCCGTAATTATCCTTTCTTTTTCTTTTTTTGTGGTGGAAAGGTTACCAGCATCTGGGTCAGTTAGCTGGCACTTCCTGGTTCTTACTCCTTTTTTTCCTTTGTATTGAATTTATTGGGATGACATTGGTTAATAAGTTTATATAGTTTCAGGTATACATTCTATAATACATGGAATAATACAAATACCATTATATATCATCTATAAATATCATCTGTTTATTACACCAACAGGCATCTTTCAAGTCCCGAGTCTTTCTGTCCAGGCATCGTGTCTACAGGTACGTGGATCCTATTTTACGTCTTTCAATAAAGCTTTTGTTTTCTTCATGTAGGTCTTGCTAAATTTTTTTTTTTTGGGGGGGATGTTAAATTTATTCCCATATTTCCATAGGAAAATGACCCCTTCTAATTAATTATGTGTAGAAAAGCCCTCATGCTTTGTGTGTTTATTCTTACGGTTTTTCCTGTCTTAGATTTGCTAGATGGCATGTTTTCTTTAATTTCGTCTGGCAGGACCTGTCCTTCCACGCATGTTTTCTGACACCTGATTTTGGTTTTAGGTAGTTTGCCCTCGGAGGACGGCAGGAAACGGTGTTTTCAATGGCTTCATTGGTGGCTTATGAGGACTCGGACTCCGAGGCCGAGAGCGAGCCTGCGGGAAGCGTGGATGCTGCTGGCCAGAGGAGGGACTCCGGCGACAGGGTCCAACCTCATGGCCAGGACTTCGCACCGGGAGTCCTGGCCGGGACAGGAGGCACGCCGCCCGCAGAGCACGGTTCCCGTGAGGACCCAGCCGGCCAGTGTCTCCCACTGGCTCGGCTCTGGAGGAGCCCAGGATCTTGCCCCAGCCAGAGGCTACAGTGGCCCAGGACAGAGCCCCAAGTCACCTTCCCCACCAGCGAGCCTCCGCGTCCTTCCCTGTGTGCCAGCCACGCTCCCGCTGGCCATGTGCCCTGGGCAGCCACCCGCGGTGAGCAGGTGAGACTCTCCTGGGGAACTTACGACCCTCCCGAGCCACCTTCCCGTGCCCGACCCAAATCGGAGCCCCCAGGAAAAAGTGGCAGCTCTCTTCAGAAGAAAAGGCCAGAGGACTGCATTGTACCCTACACCCCGAAAAGACTGAGGCACTTGCAAGCATTAAGCACAGAAACAGGCAAGAGCACAGACGCGGAGGCCCAGGGTCCTCTGCGCGCCCCCCGCCCTCTGTGCGCGGCCCCCCACGTGTCCGAGTTCATCCAGCCGTACCTGGGCGCCCCATATAAGGAAACCCTGATTTCCCAGAGGGTGCTCTTCCACCTGAGAGGCCACAAGGGCCCCGTCAGCAGCATCCAGTGGTGCCCCGTCTTCTCAAAGAGCCACCTGTTCCTCTCGGCTTCTCTGGATAAAACCTTCAAGGTAAGGTGTGAGCGGAACTGCTCTTTTACTCTCAGGACTGAGCTGCCGGGATGTGTTATCCTTCAAAGCAGTGACGGGGGTGGGTGGGTGGGGGGCGCATACAGGCGAATCATTTATTTTGGGGACTTCCGTCATTCTCTTTGGTGCATTCAGGAGCGGGTTCTCGTGGGTCCACTCAGCCCAGGGCTTCCCTGGCACTCCGCCGCATGCTAGTCCTCCTCCCCGCGGGGGCCCTGAGGACATCCAGACACACTGGCCTCCAGGGAGGATGTGGTTGCCGGGCGAGAGCAATCGGAGGGAGAAGGAAGCAGCCAGGGCCGAGCCCCGTGCACTCGGGACAGCTTCTGTGACTCCCGTGGAGTGCTGAGCGATGCCAGCTCTGTGCCAGGGGCTGTGCCAGACGCAGGGGGCGCAGAGGTAGACAGACCTGGTCCCTGGCTTCAGCAGACGCACCCTGTGGTAGCGGCTGCAAGTGCGTGGCGAGGCACCCGGAATCCTGGGCCCAGGGCTGTGAGGACCAGACCCCAGCCGGCCCTCCAGCGGGACACATGAGTGCTAAAGGAACCCCTGGGGAGGGCTGGCTTCCGGCCTGGGAGGGCCTGTGAAGGCTTCAGAAGCAGGGGTGGTGCCCTTGGTGAAGGGGGGCGGGTGGGAGGGCATTCTTGGCTCTCAGCATAAGGGGCCCGAGGCTGGGGGAGTAGGCAGGAGCCACACCAAGGAGGACTGCGGTGGCCTGTTGGAAACTTCCGGTTTTGTGTTGTTATTTATTGATTTTAATGTTGATGTGTCCTGAAGCAATGCAGACTGGCAGTAAGCAACCCCCATGGCACAGGCGGATATTGTAACAGGTGTGTCCCACCTGCCTGGCACCTGTCTCGGCCCCTCCCAGCTGCACTCGGTGTCCCTCCTGGCTCTCCTTGGCACCACCCAGCATAGCACGTGTGTAGGAGGGGCCAAACAGATTTGAACTGAAGCTTCCTGGAGAGAGAATGGCTTTGGTGTTGGGGTGACATGGCTTCCCATCCAGTTTTGCTGGGGAGCAGCGGGTCCGCTGGCCTCGCCTGTGCCCCCCATCCGGCGTCGCATCTGGAAAGGGCATCATCGTACCCGTGTGTGTGAGATCACATGGGGAAAACGCTCCCAAAGCCCCTGGCACAGGGCTGGGTGCCCCATGGGTGCTCCACACGTCTCTCTTCCCCTCTGTTTTCCTCAGAGTTCTGGAACCAGCCTGTTCAGGACGCTGTCTCTGCGTCCTGAGTTCATTTTTGAGCTGTTTCCCTAGGGAGGCACTTTCTGAGGTGAAGACAGGAAGCCCGCCCGCCGCGGACTCTCTGATGGGAGCCGAGTCACTGGGGTCGTTTTTAAGGGGCCGGTTTGAGTTCTGACGCGACTTGTCTGGGTGCTTTTCAGGCAGGGCTGGTGGAGGTATGCGGGGCCATTGTCACGTTCGGGCTTCAGTTTGGAGCCCGGGGGTTTCCATGCAGGTCTGTGGCGCTCTTCCTGCGAGGAGGAGGCCCTGAAGTCTGCTCAGAGGCTTCTGGCCTCCTGGCCTCCTGCTGTGCATTGTCACATGCTTGGGTCGGTACCACAGTCCCGGGGCTTTTCAGCTCTCCTTCCCGAGAGTCTGTGCCCACGGAGGGGTCTGCGTGGGGTCTGTGCATGGCCAGGCAGTGACTGGCAGGCCCCAGAGGTGGTCTGGAGTTACAGTGATCTGGGCTCAGGGTTCATTGCCATCCTCAAGAGCTTTGTGACCTTGAGGAAGGCACTTAACCTCTCTGAGCCTGTTTCTTTTTTCTTTCTTTTTCTTTTTTAAAAAAATATATTTTATTTATTTTCCACAGAGAGGAAGGAAGAGGGAGGGATAGAGAGCTAGAAATGTCAATGAGAGAAACATCAACCAGCTGTCTCCTCCACACCCCCTGCCGGGGATGTGCCCGCAACCAATATACATGCCCTTGACCGGAATCGAACCTGGAACCTTTCAGTCCGCAAACCGACGCTCTATCCACTGAGCCAAACCGGTTTCGGCTCTGAGCCTGCTTCCACCTCAGTAGAACAAGCTTATGAATTGTGTGGCTGGAGCTTCTCAGGTGGGACAGATGCCCAGGTGCCATGTGTCTAAAGCACCCAGTCTGACGCTGGGCGCATGGGGAGTCTTGTGGAGGGTAGTGTGGTCACAGGCAGGCCACCCGAGGAATGCGGGCAGCCCCTTCCTAGTATGTGGAGGGAGGGGCGGTTTGGCAGATGTTGACGGCAATCTGGAGGAGGAAGCGAGCTTGCCGGAGGTCTTGAGGGACTGCAATGATTAACAGAGATGGATGGCAGGATGCAGAGGTGGCAGGTGTGTTATTACTGCTCACCTGTCCACGGGCTGTTTCTCCTGACAGTGGGGAGCAGGCCAGGAGCCCAGTGGGGATTGGTCTGAACCTCAAAGCAGTGACATCTTGGTGGGCCCTGCTTGGGTCACTTGAGCCTAAAGTTTAGATTCCCTGGACAGAGGCCTCCATGATACTTTTTCAGACAGACGGCATCTGAGTGAAGCCACCGATGTGGGGCGTTGTGTTTGTTCAGTTTGTGGAGCAGGTGAGTGTGCACTGGGGCTGTAAGAAAGGGCCCCGTGGAGGGGACCATTGAGCAGCCAACTAGCTGTGACACCTCTTGACCACCAGAGGGTGCACTTGGTCCAGCTTGGGAAGGCTGAGACGGGGGTCCTGGGCCTTTTGCAGTGGGTCTGGGCTGGCCACAGTGGCTGTGCTGCCCTGTCCCGAGGAGGTGGCGGGTGCTGCTGGGCCTGGCACTGCAGTGTTCGTCCCCTGAGAAGACTGTAGGAGTGGCATCGGAGGTGGCCCCAGGTGCAGAGCCGGGCTAAGTGACTCCCGATCCTCTTCTGACTGTGCTGTCCTGAAAATGAGGGCTTTTATAAGCCCCCGGTACAAACTGTTAGCCAGGGTTCTCTCTGCTTTAAGATGCTCGAGTTTTCAAGGCAGATGGGACTAGATGGGGCCTAGGCGGGGGAGGTCCTGGCCGAGCCCTCGCATGTGCTGTGCCCTCAGGTTCCTGGGCAGGATGATGTCAGAGGGTGGGCAGTGTGGTAGATTTGGGGAACCTTGGGATCTGGTATACAATGGAGGGGGCATAGGAGGTATTTTGTGGGCACTGGGTGTGGAGTGGAGACAGGGCTGTGGGTGCAGGTAGGAGTCCTGGCTTGCTGCAGTCCAGTCCTGGGTGGAGAGCAGATGGTGGGTGCAGCAGGCAACGAGCCCCCTCCTCCCCCCAACTCTGCTCCCTTCCCTAGGTTGCCTTGCCCCTTGCTTTTGGTTAAAGTTTGCCAGGGTGCCTTCTTGCCCCCCTTCCCCACCCTCCTGCCCCTGGGTCAGGAAGGAGGGAAGAATATGGAGGCTGGGGTCACAATACTTCACTTTGGATGCTCCCTGTGCCGCTGGCTGTGTGATCACTGGCAAGTTACTTAACTTCTCTGAGCTTCCACCGTGTATGTAAAGTGGAGCTAATTACACATGCCTTTCTGGGTTTTCATAAAAAACAAACAAACCCACAAATGGCATTGGATGTGAGTTACCTAGCCGACACATAGTAGGCACTTCCTTTGTGCTCTTGTTCTTGCTCCAGGAATTTCCTCTTTTCCTTAGCACCGGTGGTCTCATTCTGCCTGCGTAGCCATGAAACCATATCTGCTGCACCCTGTAGATTTTAAGCTACTTTAGCATGGGATCTGTGCCAGACTCATTTTTATATTCTCTGTAGCACCTGGCACAAAGTTTTGTACATGTTAAGTGGATTAGTAAAGATTAAAAAAATAGTTTTGGGTTTTATTTCCAGCTTTTGGGAAAGGACTGTGCTTTAAGTGCACAAACCCCACTTTCCACCAGGGGGCACAGTGGGACTTAATATAAGCAGCTCTGAAGCTTCTAGAATCTGGGAGAATCCTTGATTCAAGGTAACAGTTACTGCAATACGATTTTTTTTTTGATCAGGAGAAAAACAACACAATCCATCTGATTAATCTAAAGAACGTGAAGTGCCAGTTCCTTCATCTCCTTAAAATGTAGCTCTGGAATTCATAAATTTCAATTGGGCACATTACAGTGGAAAGATACTTATTTTAATATGTTCTAAATGTTCTGTGAGCTGTAAAATATGCTCATATTAGTTTTGAAAAATTTACAGCTGGAGATATTAAGCAAAATAAAACAATGATTCATAACTCCCCACCGCTGCTCTGTTTTCATGTCAGCGACCCCTTCCTGCCCGCGTCTGTCGTGAGCATCTGTTCCCCGGAGCTGTGATCCTGGCACCGAGACCCTTTTATGTACTCCTCTCATTTCCCCGTGTCCCCGTTTGGCTCAACACGCTTGAATACCCTCTGCACATAAAGGTGGCATTCAGACTCCCAGGCCCTTTTTGAAGGAAGCAGCAGTGACGTGACCTCTCTGAACCAACCTTATTGTCGGCCCGTGTACGGAGCCCCCTGCCAGGTGCCCGAGCATTCCCAAAGGCACAGAGCCTGCTGCTCGCCCCTGTGTGAAAACCCCGAGGTCTGAAACACAAAGGACTCTGAGTAAAATGAATGAATTAGGTGTTGTTTATCTTTTTACACAGTGATTTCTTCAGGGAATTCTTCCAATAAACTTCCTAAAAATGCTTACATATAAACTTTCCCTTTTTTTCTTTTTCTCTTTTTTTGTTGTTCATTGATTTTGAGAAAGAGAGGAAGGAAGAGGAGGAGGGCGAGAGAAACAGCCCCCTCCTGGGGATTGAGTCTGCAGCCCCAGCATGTGCCCCGACTGGGAATCAGATCCACAGCCTTCCGGTGCACAAGATGATGTCCAGCCCACTGAGCCACACCAGCCAGGGCTGAACTTCTCCTTTCTGATCGATAATGTGGTAGATGTTTACCGTGAGAAACAGGAAATACAGAAAATAGGAAGCACAAAGGATAAAACAGATGTCATTGCCAGTCCTAACCCTGAGCAGGCACCTCA